GCCTTTAGTCCGTGGGACGTTTAGTCGCTTGGGTAGACACCACCCTCAGAGACTAAACTATCGACTAAACTACGAAATATGGCTTAGTCGCTACTTTAGTCGCTTGGGTAGAGAGCGGCCTTACATACGGATCAGCCAACTTGCCTTTTTTAGTTTTCAGCCATCGTATCATGCATACTTTGCACGTTGCCATTGCTTGCTTGCCATCATGGGACTGTGTTGTGGCTGAGAGCAACCAGTAGGTACTAGCTAGACTGTACTACCGGTACGCACAGTACGGAACGCAAACAGTGCTTTTTCTCTTCCTACAATACCCTGCCTGGACTACGGTACGATACGGTATCCCTGCCTCGTTCGTTCGTTTGAGAGAGCTATTTATAAAAAATCAAAAAAAGTGGGGCATATGCATACTTGCCAGCAAAGGTCTTTCTGTTTTACCGGTACCGGTACAAACCAGGTTGAGGACGAGAGGATGCAATCGCAAGAGTTGCCACAAACCTAGACGAACGAACGAACATTGTAGAGTATATATAGTAACACATACATTAATGTAGTGCTAGTCTCCATAAAAGCTATCTCAGAAGGCAAGTTATTATTAGGAGCTTATTATTATTGCGAGCATCGTAGTCCGAGGATGCTATTAGTCTAGCTAGAAGAGAGCCATGACGGTCACCGAACAGCAGTCCTTTGATCTCCTTGCTCCATGCAAAGAAGGAAATGCATCAAAAAGGACACCGTTGCTCTCCGTCCCGGCCGCAAACGTAATGATTAGTCCTTTGCAAATTGCGGGCATCAGCCATCCTGTCCCAAATACAATCCGAATCTCAGGCTGATCAATCGATCAATCAATCAATGTTGATTCGATTCGATCATTCTATTGATTGTTGAATAATTCGGTGGAACCGGAGCAGATTGTGGACGATGCATTCATTTTCTCACACATCCTCCAGTGCAAAGGAATGGAGCAAGACCAGCTCCCACTTTATTTTGTCTTGACAATGGCTTTGCTTTGATTGATGTATACAGGCTCAGACGACATCCACGGCATCCATGGTAAGTGGCATGGTTTCTTGTTGTTCGATTTTGGTCATTTCAATATTATTTTCGTGTGTCAATGCCGAGGATGATGTATTGTAGGCACTGGTTCTTCGTTTCTTTTGTCCAATGTTGTTAGTGGTAGATTGTTGTTGCTGCGCTGCTTGTTGACTCGCCAATTTGCGTTGATCAAAGAGACTGGCCGAGAGTGATTTTTGTTTTCTACTCAGAACAAAGGCGGCCGTGCCCAACACCACCCAAATCACTTGCAAACGCACCATGAGGAATTCTTCATCCGACTTGGTTCTCAAGCACGAACGATAGAGAGGACCTACTCCGACACTGGCAGACACAGTAGTAGTAGTTGTACTAGTAGTAGTGCTATCATTGTTGTTGTTGTTGGAGTCCTCGGCTGAAGAAGAAAAAAGAAGAGAGTCAGCATTCGATAGCACACACCAAACAAAGCTACTAAAAACAACACCAACAAACAAAGCTATCTTATTAAAAATACGCACCATCGTTGGAGCATTTCCAAATTTCGACGCGACCCGTTTCCCGACATTCGGTAATTTCGGATCGTAACGCGGCATCGCACAGTTTGCACTCTTCTGCCAAGACGCAGCCGTCTTCTGTAGAGGACGCTGATGCCAACCATCGCTGGTGCAATTTCTTCAAGTTTTGTTGATCGTTCGACATGTGATGCGCCACCACGGCAAACAACATCCAGCCCAATAATAGAGATCGTGCCATTATTATTGTTGTACTAGTAGTAGTAGTATACTGTCTGTCTCTCTTGCTAATACTTATACTAGTTGGAGCCGTCTCTCGTCGACGTGTTGCTTTGGCTTTCCTCCTTCTCCGCCGGAGATTAGTTAGCAATCGGACCATCGCCGTTTACAAATGTGTCAATTTGACGTGTTCGAATTCTACAAAAGCCAGTGAAGCTATTTTAAAATACATGACCACAGAAATCGAAACCTTGGTTTTACGGTGCCCTCCTCAGACCACGAGTACGGTAATGGTGCCATATTTAAATTAAAATATACCCACCTAAATACGATATGGTGCAAGCTACTTGGCAGTACTGTACAGGACCGTAGGTATAATCACATTTAGACTTTTTGTCGGAAGATTGGCTCTTCCGCTGGTAGGTGCAGAGCTAGCTAGCTACCGGTACCTAGATAGCGCTCGCTAGCGCTATCTAGCTAGGCTGCAGCCACCATTTTGATTCTATCAGGTATAGTACTGGGTGTCAATTTGACGTGTTCGAATACTATAAAAAGCCAGTGAAGCTATTTTAAAATACATGACGACAACCTTGGTTTACCGTCCCCAGAGCACGAGTACGGCAATGGTGCGTACCCACCTAACTAAATACGATATGGTTAGCTGTGTCAAGCACAATGTTTGCAAGCTACATGGCAGTACAGTACCGTAGGTATAATAGCAAAGCTTACTCAGTTAGCTGGCCACATTTAGACTATTTGTCGGAAAATTGGCTCCTCTGCTGGTAGGTGGCAGAGCTAGCTAGCTAGCCAGATAGCGCTAGCTAGCCAGGCTGCAGCCACCATTTTGATTCTATCAGGTAAAGCACTGGGGGGATGAGCAAACTTGCCCATTGCCCTGCATTGTATTTGATAGCGTTTTTTGTAAAAGTGTCTGTGAAAGAGCGAATATTTGTTTTGGGATGCAATTTTTCTATTGGATTAGATCGGATTGGATTGATAATGATTGCATTGAATTTCAGTTTACTATACAAATAACAGTACTATTTGGATCCATTCAATCCAATCCCAATCTAATCCAATGCAATCTAATCCAATGAATTTGCTTGCCCGCTAAAAGGCTTTCATTTATCGTTTTTCTGCCATTCTGAGTCACTCTGTTGAGTACACTACAGGGCTATAGCTGAGATTTGCCCATCCCCTGGTGCGAAACTGGGGCGCCGCTCTAGCTAGGAAGATCTGCCAGGGGATCCTTCCTCGATTCTGGGTTAACGTAGTACGTACTTTACACTACGGAACGGAATACGGAACGAGGCACTGCATGTTCCCTTTTGCAACCAACGATTTCTCGGAAGAGAGTAGTTCGAGTCGAGTCGAGTCGAAGGTGTCATCTAGATCTACATGTAGCAGACTACAGCAGCTCCACAGGAAAAGATTCATTGGAAAGAAACCAGCAAGATTCGCCCCTCTGAAAAGCCGTTCTTTCTGAGTTCTGCAACCAAGTATCGTACTTGAAGTTCGTAGGACATGAACGGCCGTTGCGGCAAACACGTGATTTCTCCGGTTCGATACCGTACAACTACATGTACCGTAAGGGTTCTTCCGTGCTCCTTGGATCAACATGTACATGTAGAATGGTCTGTCATCGTTCTTGGCTGGTTGCATGCTGATTATATGCATATGATGAATGATAAATAAGTAGTGGTTTCGCTACTGTAGTTGTGCTTGGCACAGAAGTTTCGCCGATTGACATTACCCTTGGTTTATGTTCTGCGGTGTGAAGGCTTGCTGGTTTGAACGCTGGCTGTGATGCGGGGGATCTGCACTTGACGAGTTTGCAGAGGTGCGGCTTGTGGTGGTACCGTGCCATGTTCTCCAGGATACCGTTCCGTATTGTTTCTACTACCAGTAGCTATGATAGGGATATCTACCGGTATACATGTGGCCGCGGTTGCCATCATCCCAGAAGAGGACTGAAGCTTGGATGAAAGAAACGTCAGGTTTTACAGCAAACTTCCTCGCAACCGGTACAGGTACTAGCTAATACCTGGTAACACTCTGAAGCTTTCGTGATTTATTTCTCACCGTACCAGTACCCATCCTGACGACATGTTACCGCTATGCCCTTCCCCAAACAGCGGGTCGCATAACATCAGAAGCCTGTCGATTCGATTCTGGTTCGTCCATTCCCTTTTGCTTTTGAGAAACTAGAAATGAGAAAATGAAACTAAAAATGAGAAACTAAAACTGTTTGAAAAAGTTCAAAACTTCATAATGGTTTCCGGACCTTGCTGTTATGTGGGCTGGATACGTACACTTACTTACTTTGTGCTCCCCGGAACACACTTGGTTTGTTTACTTCGCCTTACAATACCGGTACCGGTACGGAGTACCATACGGGGTGATTTATCCAGTCGCCCCGAAGCAAGTTGGCTGGCTGCCGCAAAACCACTGGAGTCTCTGACAGGATAATTTCATTTTCTTGCCTTCATCTATCACAAAAACATATTCCAAACGTTCGAACCCATCAGGAGAAACGATGGCGAACGAATCTGATATCCCCACTATTGTGTATGTTTTCCACCTGGAGGATGATGCCACCCAGGTTTCGAACGGTTATTTTGGCCGTCGAAATGAGCAAGGCAATGTGTTGGATGCTAGCCTGGTCTCTCGGTGGGATTCTGAGAAAGGTCGCTCTGACAACAGCCATGCTCGCATGATGCCCAAACACAAGAGCGTGTGCATTGAAACCGAGGAGGACAAGCCAACAAGCCGCAGGCTCCACACACTCTCTCGTTGGTCAGCTATCCCCGCCCCTCTCTTGGCCAACAGTGGGCATTGCGAGGAGGACCAGCAGACAACCTCGCGAAGAAGCACAACACGAGTAAGTGAACGAAGCAGTACCGGAGATGTAGTCGCAGATCGGTGGGCCACATCGATCCCTGTGAGCCATAGGATACAACTTCGTGGCGATCGTGGCAATCAGCAGCTTGGACACGAGACCACGAGGGACCGACCAGCGCGGCTCCCAAAGCGAGGTGCTGGCTACTCTCAACCCGTCCGCAACTCAACCGACCCTCTCATCGAGCTACGGTACAAGGCCAAGAAAAGCTACTGCTCCAAAGCGGCATAGACAGCCTGTCGACTAATTACTCATAGTCTAGTAATCATCACTACTAGCATTGCTTTCGTAAAACACGAAGCAAAGCAAGTCATCAAAAATTGAAGTCTTGGAATTGCACGCGCAAACATGCCCACACATCCTGCTCGATACTAGCCACGAAGAATAGAAAGTTTGGGACAATGGCTTTCTCACCAGGTACTTCATGCGGTACCAGCTTTGGATGATCAGCTAGGAATGTCATAGCAGCACCGACATTGCTGGATCGGCCACCAGTCGCGGCAATGCCAGCCCTGTTCCACTCTTTCGACATGCTTGCAGCAGCTAAAGAAGCAATAGAACGTACTGTATCCATGGCATTGGAGCAGCAAGCGGCTATTGCGTTCGCGGGTTGGTTCACGGGCAAATAGCGATGGATAGGGCGTAAGCCCGAGGCAAACTCCGGTGAGTGGCTGGTCAACGGGAGCATGGCAACTATTTGCCGCACTGCATGCTCACTGACAGATAGGTCGCCAAGGGCCACTACGTAAAACGAAGAAGCTCCACCCATAGCTTTAGCAAACTGGCTGCACTACTACGTACTAGATCATGGGAAGATCAATGTGAGTGGCTAGATCAAGCCGCCATGTCCAACCCACCGACGTAGTACCCTAACAGCGTTGTCCTGATCGACATCATACAAGCAAGCTTAGCAACGGCTGGTTCGAGCTCAGCTAGCGGTATAACCAGCTGCCACTAGGTTGCTTGGTGCATCAACCGACAAAATATCGCGTCGGCACATTGTTTCTTGCTTTGCGTCGCCGTCCCGTTCACCACATTTAAACCATGTGTCATACCTACCCGGGAAGGCGCAGAAAGAGGCCTTACACTCGTGTTTCTTCCTCCTGATAGTCAGCTGCACGACGGCAATCCTCTTCATCTCTTGCAGCTTTGAGCATTCCGGTCTCTCCAAGATTGCGCATGTGGATTTCTCCGCCAGACCAAAACTTGAATCCACCACAAGTGAGCTCTGACTTGAAATATTCCGATCCATCGTCATAAGCACAAGCCGTAGGCTTCTTGGTTCCAAAGAGCATCTTGCGGTCCAATGGACCGGTGCCAGTGGGATTCACTACTCCACTTTCATCACCAGAGGATGTGATTCCGTCATACTCGTCGCTTGGCCAGGAGATAGAACTGCTATCAGAAGATTCCAAATCAGACAAAGTGGTGGGCAAGCAAGATTTCGTCGCGGATGCGACCACCGCTGGGTAGGACCAACCATCATTTGCCCAAGTGGGAGATTCCGACAACTCAGTGGATAAAGATGGGGCAGCTCCAGACGAACCAGAAAGTGAAGACATGTACTGGAAAACTTCTTCCAAACTGATCTCAGAACTCGCATCCTCATTAGACTCGTCAAGGCGTTTGATTGAGATGACGTCAGGCACCTGATGCGGAAACACAGAGTAACCTACTCCATTTGGGACATGCAAATCCGACGACATGACGGGGTACGCAGGTTGGTTGCGTTTAGTTCCTTCGTGGGATCGAAATGTCGGGACAGTCTTTTTCTTGGTTGGAATCTCTCGTTGCGTTGTCTCAGTCGTCTTCAGGATTTCTCGGGCTTTGAGCTTGGCGAGCTGATCCCTTTGGATGGAATGTTTGCTGCGGGCCATCTTGAAGCTCTTCTTGAAGCGAAACATATCTTCAGATGGCAAGAACTCTTCGAAAGGGGAAACAACGTCAACCATCTGGTTGGGATGATCGCGGTTACGTTCACGCTTGGACGGTTCATCGGAGCCACCCGCTAGCTTCTTCTTGAGGAATAAGGCAACCATGATGACCTGTAGGCAATTGTTTCTTGTATTGAACAGCCAAGGACAACGAAATGAGACCTCAGCCTTGCTGTGGATGGCTCAAAGCACTCTCATGATGTGCAGGAAACCACCCGGAGAGTGCTTTGGTGGGAGTTGCTGCGCCGTGGGAGTCGAACCCGCGCTGCCGTTTGGGAGTTTGGGAGTCGAGTCGAGTCGAGTCGAGGCGGACGCGGGAGTGGAGGGTTCGGGAGCGGAGTTGGCCGCAGTTTCGGACGCAGTATTTCACACGTGGGCAAAAAATGTGCGAAAAGGGTGTTGAACCTTCATGAGTGCTGTTTCGTGAAGTATTTGAAAATGATTGGTCTTGGTTTCGTAGAGGAGAGATAGTTTGATTGAAGCTCTATGCATGACCTACATGTATTTCGTTCCTGGTCATTGTGCCGAGCAATTGGAGGTGGAGAGCAAAGGAGATTGGTTCACTCCCGCTAATAATCGGCAAAGGTGTACTCCGCAGCTGCGGCAACCTAGCAACACTTCGGTTTGATGCTCACCGTCGGGCAATAGACTATCAAAGCGTTGATTCACTCATTCAAAAACCGACTCCAGCAAAATTTATGGAGTTGTGCCTCCGGTACCGAACTGCTTGTACCGTTCAAGGAAGCCACAACACGAACATGTGGCCCCAACATACTATCACATGATGATGTGGCAAAGCTGCCCGACCCCAACTTGGACGGCGCACAGAAGGGTCAACGGAGTGAAGCTGGCTCTGTGATTTCATTGGCTGCTCTATTTCTCCCACTCCCATACGATACGGTGCCGCTGGCGATGCTTCAACCAGGGCGGCCAAGCCAGTATGGCATAACTGTTAGTGTAGTTTGGTGCTTAATTAAGCTGATGTGTTGCGGTATTGAAATTAAGCAACTCGAGCTGTGTGCACCATCCAAACTAAAAACTACAACTCGCATCAACCTACTTGCACTGTGCTAGCCGGCTAGGTAGAAGCGAAGAGCGCGGACTGCCACAATGTCTCCCGCAATTCCAATTCTCCGGTGACAAACCTAGTACCAAGGTGAAATCACAGGGAACAAATGAAGTGGGAATACTTCGCTGCTCCATATACTGCTAAAAGCTTCTTCAAGCATGTTGCTGAGCCTGGGGCTGTTTCTTGGCGTCACACAGCCAGGCAAGAGCAGTATTTATCATCTGCATTTAATTTTGTTGACACTGGACATAAAGGTGTCAAGAGAAGAAGTTGTTGATAAGTAGATCGTGGTGAGGTTGTGTCGTCCCTGGGTGAAGGTCGGCTGGCTAGCTAATATGCGGTGAGAGCTATAGGTTCCGACGTTCAAGGGTATGCTCCGCACAAAGAAACTCAGGATTCGTTGCCAAAAGAGCCCTCCAGCCCAATTCGCTTTTTACGCTATGTCATATTGCAACACAGCCATGAAGAGAACCTTAGAGTCTTGCTGTCTTGCTTGACTTACTTGAAAAGGCAAATCGCATGTCCTGTGTACTCCGGCTAGCTAGTGACGGTCGGGCATATGACACAATTCCGCAACCTAGCACAGCATGCAGCATCGGGTTCTCCTTGGTATACACTGGTTTTCCACAAAACTTCTTTATTGCCGTAGTTTCAAAGATCATTGATGAGCTCCTTCCCACAAAACTTCTTTACTACTACGCAGACTTTCAAAACTACTTTCATCCATTTTGATTGCACCACTCCCCCCTCCCCTACCATGATTGCTGTCCCCGAATACGTCGACACTCACACCCACGATGCCCTGGAAGTTTCCAACATCAGCTGCTCAATCTCCTACCAAGAGCACGAAGGCCACAGTCGCACAAGTAGGGTAGTTTCTCGCTGGGACACATCCGACAAGGAGGGCTACAATGCCATGCCGAGGAAACCAACCCGCGGATCTGCCGCCAGCAAACTGCCACTGCGACCCGCTCACTTTCGATTGCTAGAAGAAGAAGAACACGACGATGATCCCACCAATCACGACATGGGCTGGGACAGATGGCGTGCTGTCCCCAGGATGACCCGAGGCGACAGTACCCGTACTGCCTTTTCCATGGGCAGACAGTCAACAGCTACGTGCGCTTCTGGCTGGGGCCTCATCTCTGACGTTATGAAGGAGGAAGACGAGGGAGACGCCTCTGATGAGCTCTCCATCGAAGGAGATGAGACCAAGGCAATTGGTTCTCCGGTGCACCCTCCTGGTTATGCCAGTCGACGCAGTACTAGTTCAGCTTCACCGAAAAGAAAACGACCCGAAAGGATTGCTGCGCCGAAATCGTTCGAAGAAAGCGATGTACGTGTTGGAAACCTCAATACAGAGGGGATGAAGCAACGACCGTCGCCACCCGCAGCCTGATGAAAGCACCACCAAATACAACGTTCCAGAACAATTGCCGCTATATCTTGGCAATACATAATATTACGTGCACATGCTATCCGTTTACATAATAAGCTTTATAATACTGCATGAAAACGTACCGACCGTTATGCGGAAGCAAGGATTGGATGGGAACTGGCTGGAGAATGGAAACGATCTCTTTGCCTAAAAGTATTTCCAGTGTAGTTCATTGGCTATGTATGCCTTGGCTGGAACAGCTAGCTGGTGATGCCAGCCAGCTAGCCCCCCGTTGATCCCTTCTTCTCGTTGCCGGTGGCTGCTCGATCGAGCTTAGTCGGCCGCCCCCCTCGTCCACAAACTGAACAGCTACTACGCGGTAGAATAGACTAGCTAGTGTTTTGATTGGTAATAATAAAGAATAAGCTAAGTAGTAACTATGTATGTAGTTCAAAATTTGTATGCGGTGTATGCGGTACACTTGTAGCAAGGAGAGTCAAGCAAGATTCCTAAACGAATCAATCAATCAAGAACTCGTTCCTTTTGATTGATTCGATTCATCTAATTTCACGCAGCCTTGGCAGTGGTATTCGACGTGCCGTCGGTGGCACTGGCGACAAACTTTTCAAAGTGCACGATATCCTTGGTGGGATTCCCGTGTTCCGATGCGTACATGATATTGGACAGCATGAGCGCACGGCACCTTTCGGCGTCTTGCGTCTCGTTCAAGAGACGATGAATGTGCGCCTGATTATTGGCAATGGCCAATGCCTCCATGGATCCGACGGCAATGTCGTATTGACGTGCCAGATCCAAGGCCATCTTGTAAAACGCCAGAGCTTTGCGCAGTCGTTGCGAGAGCTTCTTGTTGGTCAACGACGCCGACCGAATGGCACTCATGTGAAACGACACGGCCAAATTGTACACGACGGAAAAAGACAAGCGCTTGAGCATCTCGGTGATACTGTCTTCTTCTTCTGCAGTGCCATCGCGTCGGACACGAGAGACCTTGATGGGAGCTTCAAAGATGAACCCGTCGGTGGAATCAACAACGCTATTATTATCATTGTCGGAACCACCACCGGCAATGGCCGTAGCCGATTCCAGAACAAAGGAAAAGACGAGTTCGTAGCAAGGACGGCTTACAGCTGCATCGGCACTTGCCTCGGCGTCGCATTCCGCCAAGAGCAGCTTGAGATCGGACACGGAGGAAGACAAGAGAGCCGCAGCCTTGGAGTAATCTTGGGTTTCCAATCGTCGGATTCCATCGTTGTTTTGTTTGATGATCTTGGCCATGGAGGCACAAACAGTCGAGCAAGAGGATGAGGATGCCATGGTTTCCAGTGATAGAAGCTTGATTTTCGTTGCGCGAAGCTTGGGATTGTGAGCAGAAGAAGAAGCAGTGCGGCAGATGAAAAGAGATTGTGCCGGGGTGTGATCAACGTGAGAGATCTGAGGTGGCGAGAAAGAAACACCGGCGATGAAGCTCCGAGAACTGGAACGAGCAGGTACTGAGTAGAAGGTATGTCTTGGACGATCCCGTCCTGGCTCTGCTCTGACTATTACATAACAGAAAGGTTGCGGTTAGATGTGCCGTTGTGGTCAATTGGTGAGATGCCTGCAAAGATGCCGCAAAGCTCATACAATGTTGGGGTTGCTGTGACACACGTCAGAGTTCTGTCTTTATCTGAGTCAGGGTCATGTACAATAAATCACTTTGCTTTGGAGGCATTCTTACGCACAAACTGAGTTTTAACAAATGACCCCTCACTTCTCTTTTCCCAGCTTGTCTGTGATCTTTGAAAGTCAATGACTCTCAGTGGAACCCCAAAGGCAACAGTGCTGGAACATGCATTTAAGATCCAAGTTCTGCTAATAATTAAATTACGAACAGCGAACAGCTTTTGAGTCTGCGAACCCAAGCAAGTCATTAAATCCTTCAAGTATTATAGTCCGAGTTGATGACTGTTGAGTACGGTACTGGTGAGTAAAGAGTAGTCCAGTCAATGATGTCATCAAAAAGAGTGAAGTGATTGAACGTCGCGCCACTTGTAAAAGCGTGGTTGCGTCCAAGTATCGGCAATGACGGACAATGAGTGTTTCATGGTCTTCACTGGTATTAGCATTGACCTCTTAACTCTAGGTTTCCTTTCGTGCTTCATACCGTTGGCAGAACTTTTACGTTGATGGAGCTGTGCAATCCGAAAGAGGAAAACAAAATCATCTAGTATCATCGTCATTCCATCCTTTTTACACGACGGCAATCCACTTTCGGATGATGCTGCTGCATCGATGCATCGACGAACCCATACCTGGTGCTACTCACAAGGATAGTACATGTAGAACTGTAGAGGGAAACGAGGCACCTGCTGAAACCTGGACAAAATTAGCTACAAAATTAATCATGGTTACCAACAGAACTCCGTGGACAGTCGACTGGCCATTTGGCACCTTCACCTGGCAGCTGGCAGCAACCAACAGCTGCTGCAGAGAACGCCGGTAGTAGTTGCTGTTGTTTCTCCAAGCCCAGCAGCACTAAATTTTGGCTTGTGTTCAGCGTTCGGCTTGGCTTGTTGAGAATCAATCGCTTCCTTTGTCAGTCACTCTACTAAGCTCTCTACTAGCTAGCTAGCAGTTGCATCCTCGTTCACCGGTTTCCTCTTCATGCGGCTCTAACGCTCTACAGTCGTAACTACTGGATTGCTTAGAAGAAGATTGACGCTTATTTGCTTGTCCTCTGAAGCAAGAACGGCAACCGCGTCATCTGAAGTCTGAAGATGTCCAGTGGCTGTTGCCCTCTTTAAGGCCTCCAGCCGGGGAAACCTTGCTAACGAGGAAGCGAGAAGAGCGCTGTGCAGCAAAGATCAACTGAACCAGCCGGAGAGCTATTAGGTCTACAGGGAGCGAGTCTCCCTCGACTCCAAGCCACCGCCTAAGCTTCCGCGCTGCAGATGAGGCCGATATAGAGACAGGGCAGTGGCTCCTACTAGTAGTAGAGCGGAGGATGGGTGCTGGGCTTGTTTGCTGGGAAAGCACCATGGTGATCCTTACAACGATTGGTTGTCCACCGGAGCAAGCAAGATGGCAAGATCCGGACCGCAGTGGCAACGAGTTTGCGGGAGTTGATCGAAACATGGATACAATGTGGCCACGCCGGCTGATCGTGGAACCACGCCTAAGCATCGGCGATCTTTTGGTCCGCTTTTGCTCCCAGTAGTGGCTATGTACGGCACGGTAGAGGGCTGTTCTGCATTGCTGTATTGATGATGACAAATCCATTGCTAAGATTTATAAACAGTGGTATTGGCTTTCAATTGGTACTTATATCGATCCTTCATGCTGCGGGGGCGAACTTTGATGGCTCGAAGACTGCAGCGGCAAAGAACTGTTCAAAGAGCAGGATGTCTTGTTGGCGGCCGCAGTCTGCAACCAACATGATGTCACTTCGAACTTGATCATAGCATTGATCAGCATGGTTCCGGTCACCCAGCTTGAGATAAACTTGAGCTTGGTTATTGATTACAGCCAGGGCTTCCATGATGCCCAAGTTTAGATTCTCATTCTCAATCATATTGAGTGCCAACTTGTAAAAGGCCAATGCCTTGGTGAGGCGTCTGTGTTCCTTGACGGTGTTTCCTTGCGGAGCTGCCAGGTGGAACGCCAGTGCCCAGTTAAAGACGAGTGCAAAGGAAAACATTTTGAGTTGGTCTTGCGTTGAACTTTTGATGTCGAATTGGTCGACGTTCGTTAGGCAGTGTGCCACTCGAATGGGAGAGTCAAAGATAAAGGAGGGTGCGCTGCTGAATTCGTCGCCTCCACTCTCTGCGGCTCTGACGGCGGCATTGGATAGTTGGAAAGTAAAGGACAGATCGCAGCCAGGATTGCTGCAGCACCCATCATTGCCATCGAGCAAATCAAGTGACATTTTGAAGGTAGATACGGCCTTGGACAAGGTGCTGATGGCCCCTTCGTACCTGTGATCCTGGAGCATCTGGATACCCGCGTTGTTGAGCTGCATGATGTGGTCGATAACTTGGGAGCTTGTGGGTTCTTGAGTGGAAGTCATCTTTGCTGGTTGGGGGCTTGGTGTTTTGCTTTGGGGAATATTGTGAGGGCCAATCCAGAGGATGGGTTTTAAGATAGGAAAACACCGAATCGAATGATAAATCAGATCAGGATCAAAACAAACTAACCAGCGGAGGTGCCACCCACCGTGCAGGGTCTGGATTGCAAGCAAAGTTAGTACTCTAAGCGCTACGAGGTACGAGGGCATGACGATACGATGCCGGGGTGGAATGACAAGTCTTATTGCTCATTCTGCAATGTCCACAAAGGAAAGGAACCTTCAACATTAGGCTCTTGGCTCGTGCAAACGTATTATGAAGAGGTCTCCTCTGCAATTTCTATTGTCGCGTGGACGTGGATGGTGCAGGAGCTTTGGACGAATGCTCAGATGCTGCCTTGCTAAGGTAACGCACAAGTTGTGCCCTTAGATCTTATTTATTAAATCTGACTTCTCCTTCTTTTTAAAATAAGAAGAATTTTCAGACACGAGCTCTCTGATTCAGGTTTCCAGAAAGAGCATAAAAGACTGCCATGCCCAATTCTATGATTCCTTAAACCTCTTTGTGCACTGTACACTGTAGAGTAGACTGTAAACAACAGAAGCACATGTACCGGTACTGGTACCGGTACGGTACACCATTCATGATTCATGATTGCCAAAAATTTATTTAATCTGACTTTCTTGGCGCATTCTGTATCCACGCACGGAGGCGGAATGATTCGATTCGATTCCGCCATCGTGCCTCCATGCCTCCATGCACAGACGCACTTTCTATGATGATCCAATCAATCTTTCCATCAATATTTTCCATTAAATCTTTCCGTGCAGCACGGGCCTCTCGACCTTGATCAGAGTACCTGGTACCCAGTACCACCATCAGAGCTACTATTCCACAGTATTCCAATTTTATTAAATTTGATGATCTCAGATCTTCTCGGAGTCTGGTGGCTTGTCTTGGTAGTTTACCGGTATTCGGCAAACTAATCATACCGGTATCAGCGAAGCTGTCGCGGCACCCTCTTGAGATGGGATTAGTCTACGTTGCTTGGATTTTGGATTGCAGCAACAGTACCGTGAAGGCAGAAGGAGCACAGCATCATAAACCCACAGCTCAGTTGCCAGCTTGCTTGTCGATGTCTGTACGTACCGGTATGCACATGAATATTCCAAGCCCATGGACCAGTGCAGCCAGCCTGTCATCTCTGCTGCTCTCTGGCTGTTGTTCAAAGTTCAAAATAACGATCCTCTGGATCAGAATGCAGAGGCTATCATCTCTCTGTGGTTTCCTAATGGTTGAAATTGTACCTATTACGTGGAGGAAAACGGATTATGGCTCAAAGGCCCTGCCCTCTGCCTAGTACTACTGAGTTGGTTTTCGACCTGATACATCAATCTTTGGCTGGCGTCTTAGGCGTTTATGCAGGTGCTGACCCAAAGCAGAGCAGAATTAGGTTAGGATGCTAACGTCGTACTGGTAGCAGATTGGAAGCAAGGCGAGCGATATGGGAATGTATTGTTCGCTCTTGTTGCGGTCCTCCCCCTCCCTCTTTTCTTCTCCCTCTGAGATAATGACGCTGTCTGTTTGGTTTGATCCCAAATCCAAAAGAGACTTCAGTGTTTTTTTAAAAGATACTATGATAAACCTGAGGTTTGCACCGACAATAAACATTGCCATACTGTAGGGCCAAAGACTTTCGTTCCTTGAAAGCACCAGCCACTAGCCAAGCAAGAAAGCAAGATTCTCGCCCCTCCTGCAACTGCTGGAATCAACCAGTTACGTGGAATCAAATCCATGCCATCGAATGATTGAATTATTCAATCACCCTGGTATCGTCACAAATAATTGATACTCTCAGCTCTCGGTGCCCTTCTAGCTCTAGCTAGCATAGCTACAGTTGACAAGCTGCTTCGTTGAGAGTTGAGAGCTGAAACTGAGCGACAACCAAGAGGTGGATGGCTGTCAAGGCTGTCGTGGAAATCCATCGTGGAACCTATATCCTTAAAAAGGCAACTTGGGTGGGCACGCGCACCGCAAAGTGACCCTAACAAGAAAACACTTCACAACCAAGTGAGATTTATAAAGAAGGTTCTCACAACCACCGAACAAAGATCGAGAGGCTGTTCTAACAAGTACCACTAGTAGCCTCTCTAATAGTAAAGCACGAGAACGACGGCAATCAAGATGGGAGACAGTAACGAAGAAGCCTTGGCAGATGTGCGTGTGCTATTGGAACAGAACGTTCAGGAAGAGGTTCAGGAAAACAACGAAGTGGAGGAGGAGGATACTAGCAGTGAAGAAGAGGGTGACGATGACAGCAGCGATTTTCCCCTTGTGGGAGCCCCAGGTCAGTATTGGTATGAAGATCGCATGAAGCTGACAGAACAAGAACGACGGTGGGCTCTGGCCATCAAGCAGGCTGTGGCAGAGGAGGGAGATCTGAAGCCACTCAGTGACTTTTGGTATTGCCAATTTGGCATCATTGACCGAGACAACGTGGAACGATCCCTGGATAGGATACGGACCATGCAGGCATTCCGTGAGGAATACGATTTTGTGGATACATGGGAGGCAGGAGTAGAGTTTGTTCGAGAGCTGGTCTTTGTCATGCCTCGATTCTGGTTGGCTCTCAACTACAATCCACGCGATGGTAATTACATCTTGGCACTGGATGTAGCCCGCTTTTATGCCAAGATCCTTCAGGCACGACCGGAACTCGTACGCATCTGGATTGTAGCTACTTACGCTGTAGCTCATGCCCTGAGTCCTGATTTCAAGGCCATTCGAAAGGGTAGCATCCTGCTCATGGAAAATCAAGGTTACGATTTGAAAACCAATTTTGGATTCAGTTACATGAAGAAAGTCTACTCAGAAGTTGCAGGCGTATACCCCTTCAAATATGACCAAGTCAAGAATTTCAACACGGGAGTCCTATTCAATATCATACTTTCCATGCTACGGGCATTCATGCCCAAGGAACATTCCCGAAAACTCCAACGGGGATGCCGCACAGCCGACGGTGTTGAACGGCTGGATGAATTCTACTTGAGTTCGGGTCTACAAGTTGCCAATGAAAAGTTTATACAATCGGTCAAGGCATCGTTGCAGTGGCGGTTCTACTGCCAATCCAAATTCTCACTGGAGCAGGACAATGACGGTGATTAGTAGAAGAGATCTGAGACAATCGTCAGGGATCTTTTTGCACTCCTGCAAGTCCAACACGTTTCAGCTGAAGATCTCGCGATGCTGTGACACCGGCTGCTCCTTCCTGCTTTCTGTTGTTTCTACAGTGGAATGAAAACAATCAACCGAAGGTATCAATAACACAATTGTCGCGGTTTTTGCTATGGGGTCGAGTCAGTGGCTTGGGGGCAGGCATGAAAAGCAGACGCTAAGCTCTGTGCTCTGTGCTCTGTGCTATTCTTGCTAAAAGGTTACCCTGATGACTAAGAACCTTCAGCTAGCATTGAGGATCTGTGGGGACAGGTACTAGTTTGGTTTGCTGCAAGCATACACCGCAGACAGACAGCAGCCACCTTGCTGCCCACATGATTTTGTACTAGAAGCAATAACTGTTAGGCCTCCTCACTATTCACTCAAAACTCTACTCTTATTATATTGTGTGGCTACGATTAACCTAGATAAGTACTAAGATGGTATAGTAAGCAATAAGGCAGATACCTTCATAGATGATAGCTTACTTGTATGGATGGCAGTAGGACGGCGTTCTAAAAACACATCTTCCTAATTTTGACAGTGGCTGAGACGTTCTCCAGCTTTTGAGGAACTGTCGGCATTGGCCGTACTATCGAGCTAGTAGCTTTGATCGTCACACCAGTGGAACAGCACGGCGAAGCCCTTGCGCTTGTATTTTGGTATGTGTGGAGCGATCCGATTCTACGGCAATGCTGTTGGATGCGATCGTCTGATCATCCAATAGTCCAATCGTTTTGCATTCGAGCATACTCATACTAATTAATTCTCGTAGCCACACCTTGTAAGAAATGAAGCCTCCGGTGTGAGACAAAAAATCCTGACAGTTTTTTGGCTGGCAGCCAGATTTGGCCCAGGTTATCTGCCAATAATTTGCGCACCCGCACCCAAACTATCTGCTAATAGAATTTGGGTACGAGACTTAACAGACCGGTACTAAAAGCACACCCAGACGCACCCTGGCCAAACTAAAGTGGTAATAAGTGAGGCCATTTCTGAGAACCATCCCAAAAAGCCGCAGAGAGCTTTTGTCCTAGTTAGTCTTCCGAATGGATTGAATCAAACGAATCGAATCCTCCACCGTGGCTGCAAATTGGTAGATGCACATTCCGATCAGCATTGGCATTACTCCACGATGACAAGACCAAATCAACGACGCAATGGCCGAATGGCCGCCGCCACCACAGAGCATGCAGTTGCAGCCCCCTCACCGCAAGCACCTACCACTACTGCGCCAAGAGTAGCAGCCACTGCCACAGGAGGTGTTATTTTGCGAAACCCTGCCAACTCCGGTGTCACAACAGGGATGGTGGATTTCATCAACAACAAGCGAGAAGGCACCAGGCCAAAATAAACCATCCATGCCATTGATCTTAAGGTGAAAGAATTCGAGCTATGATGTGAATACGCCTACAAGGATGACCCATTCAAGCACAATATGGATAAAGACAAATGCTACAAGTATATGTTTCTACAGTCAATGCACGCGTGGCAAGAAAAAAACTGGCAGCAAAAGAGATACCAGTGGCAAAGCCAAAGTGACATTCAACAAGGTGCTATAGGAAAAACTTGATGAAATGTTCAAGCAAGGAGGCGTCAACCTCACTCTCCAGCCACCACCCAAGCCTCTTGGATGGTCAAGCTTCAACCAGTACAGGACAGCTCTGAAAAGCATCCACAACAAGCAAGTTGCCATGTCAGTCAATGCGATTCCTTGGGAGATGATATGGGATGTTGACTGCAAGAATCTGGAGAAACATGTGAAAGAGAGACTGCCTGCAATTTGCAAGGAATTCGCTCCATATGCCTGTGTTCAGAGCTTTGGTGAGATCGAGAGCGCCATGTGGGAGGACACCAAATTGGCTAGCGGCAAGAGGAGCCTGTGTTCAAAGATTCGCCCTCGTATGTGCACATTGTTGCTTACCAGTACGATTTTGGGAAGCAAATCTATTTACTGGGGTGAGTTGTCTGATTTCTTTGGTCTTGATCCACCGAAACGGGATGAAGATGCGCATGTTCCTTATGTCCAGATTCTCCAGATTGCACAAGGCAAAACCAACCACGGACGTAAGCTGTTTGGCAGGGCGACTCGACATGCAGATGTTAGATGGTGTACTCTCAGTGGAACATCGATGTATCTTCAACTACGATTTGACTGTACCAATGAATTCGCCAATTTCACTGTGCAGGATTGGATGGATAATGAGAAATGGTTTGACACGACATTTCTGATTGACGTCCAGTGCAACGACAACACTGTCAGCATGAAGAATGATACATACAGCAACCACATCAAGAGCATCTTGAAGGAGCTTAGCCTTCCAAGCAACAAACTCCTGCATCTGGGTCGCAATATTGGAGCCAAGACGCTGGAGCTCTACGACGTTTCCATAGACGATATTAAAAAAAAATGGGTAACTGGAGTCCCAGTGTGTTTGACACGAGCTAGTACTCTGGCAAGATTCCAATGCAACAGATTCGGCATCTGGCTGGGTTTACGAACTCTTCTAAGATTTACTACTTGCCCAGGAGCAGAGCCATGCTATCTGATGCATTGCTTCGCAGCACACCCATTGGCAAATGGTGCTACAGGTCTCTGTATGCACTCCTTGAGGCTGATCCGAATTCTGAGAAGCAAACTGCAGTCGAGCCTTTGAAGTTTTTCTGCCAGATGAATACCATCTTCCTTCAAGATGTGACCGCCATGATGGTTCTTTATCCTGAGAGAATGTCGGAGCATCCTTTGGTAGTAGCCAGTTTGGATTGCTTTCAAACGCAGCTTTTTTTTAAGGTATGTGTCCCCGCTGTACATCGTTTGCCGGCACCATTCCACTCGCTGATTCTTTTTCTTTTCAGGACTATAAGATTATCTTGTTGTTACTCTACAAAAAAGCGAAAACCCACTTGATGCGAACTTGGAGAAGGTTCTTCCTGGTGTGCACCAGAGGCTGAACATTGCTCAAGCGGCCATTAGAGAGGAAGCCAACAAGTTGGATGACAACACCCTCATGGTGCTTCGTGAGGTGAGGGATGGTTTCGGCAGTGTTCAGCAGCAGATGGAGCAACAGGCCCAACACAACCGATTGGCTATTGACCGACGAGTTGGGGCTTGTCTTGTTCAAGCCGGTGCTCAAATCCTGCATGAAACAGAAGATGGAGAGGAAACCGGTACTGGTGAGATCTCACGGGATCCTTCTTCGCCTGACAACTTCATAACTGAGCAAGATGCCATTGATGAAGCGGAAGCCGAAACACCATTCACCGGTTCCCCTGTCAGGCTGAGGCCTTGGATTTTGCCAGTTCCGGCAATTGAACCAGTTGGTGGCTCGTTAAGTGATGCAAGTTGCTTTCTGCTTAAGACAAAACACACCACTCTTCAAGGTGTGTCGGATGAGTGGTTTGGTGAAGGAGAGTTCTCTGACAGCTACGGTGGCATTGCTGGTAGGAACGACAAGTTTGGCAAGCAGTGGAGACGACACTTGAATGGCACTCACTTCTCACGCAACAAGAGGATTGTGGTTGGTGTGATGGAGCAGGCAAAAGTGCAGAACGTCATCAATGATTGGCAGCCCTTGTTTGACAATGCCAGTGCAAGTGTCGGCAAGTTTGTTGAGGCACTACAGGAGCTTGGGCATATACTCAAAGGAAAGCCGCGTGGAAAGAAGAAAGGCGCCAACAAAGATTAAAACTTAACACTACTAGAAATGTTTCTTTTGCTGTCGCATCATCTCCATCTCTTCTTCTAGTAGTGTCACGGTTTCTTCTAAATCGACGATCTGTACTCGCATCTTCGCCATATTCACTGTCATTTGATCGATTTTGGTTTGAAGCTCGCGTTTCGAAGGCTTCTTCTTTGCGTCTTCGGCTTCGGTTGATTTGATGGCTCGAATGGAGGTCAAATAGATGGTTCTTTCAATACGAATATCGTCGTCCACAGCAACCCTGCACATGCAGGAACCAGCTTTACCTTTGTAGTCACCATAGCAATGTTCTTTGTAGCGACCACCAATGATCCTGACTCGTTGTTCAACTTGATACTCAGCCATGACCTCAACACGGTAACAGCTCTTATGTAATAAATAGAAGAAAGTCAACTGTAACTGTTGCCGATTTAAAGATCCGAACCTCTACTGGAGAGTTCCTCAATCGTGCATGAAACCGACCCTAAAATAGGGTCGGATTTAGGGTCGGATTCCCTTGAGGGTCGGGTTTCGAAACCGACCCTAAAAACAGGGACGGTTTCTGAAAAATAGAGACGGTTTCTGAAAAACTGTCCCTAATTTAGGGTCGGGTTTCGATTTAGGGTCGGGTTTTGAAACCGTCCCTATATTTAGGGACGGATTCCCCCAAACCGACCTTAAATTAGGGTTGGATTTAAAGTCATGCATGATTGAGGAACGCTCCTGTAAAAAGTGACCTTGTTTCTATCCACCGTAGTACGTCAGTGGGGTACGTCAGCGAAACTGATCTTTCGCGATCCTCGCTAAAGCGGCGAGGATGTTCCAGCGAGTTCCAACGAGGCTCTTCGCTTTTCTAAAAGTGAAGGCCCTTCCTCCCAACCCTCGGAAGCGGGACTGCTTGCAGTTCTGTATCTACGACCTCCAACTATGGCCAACTCTGCGCCATCCTCACAATGACCTCTGCGCCTTGATGGCCACGTAGGTTTTGTACTGAGCGTGACGGGCGCGGACCGGTAATAGACCGTAGACAAAAGGGCGACCTCAGCCAAAATCCACTTTTGGCTGCAGTAGAACCAATACTGAGCCCCGATCCCTTTTCAATCCCAAGGATCTGCCAAAGACTTTTTAATGAGTAAGTAATAAAGGAGTCGTGAGTCAGTCCAGTCTAACTAGCTACATGTAGTTAGTAAAAAAAAGGAGGGGGGGTTTAGAGTAGGGAAATTATCTACGGAAGCCAGCCGGGCCAGGCTTAAGCAAAGAACAGTCGAAATTGATTTCTTCTTTGCCTGTACTGTACCGGTACTACATTTCTGCAACAGTAGTTGCACAGCCTCAGTATGTGCTTCCTACTACTACTATGAGGATCTTACATACCCTCAGGATCAATGACAGTATGCTACGTAGAAAGTCTATGGTATCAGTAGTCATTGAAACAAAGATCCTCTCAATAAGACTCTCACTATTAAATAAACTGAGAGGATTTAGACATAATGCCCCTGACTGAATAAATAAAGACCAATGCACATACTGAGAGGATTCCAATTTTCGCTTAAGTAAGAGACAACATACCGTACCGTTCCAATGAGATCCAAGAATCGTTCCGATCCAACCGTTGCAGAAAGATAAGATACTCTCAAGCAGCCACCACCCACCGTACGAATCGTTGTGGTACTCTCAAGGGAATCCCGTGCATAAAGAGACGAACAACGGGCAAATCCCATGCGATCGCCGCGATCGATGGTCTACCGGTAGCTAGCTAGCACTTCATTTCTTCATTTCAGACCTCATTATTTTCATTCCTTCTACTTTGTAAAGGAAACTCTGCCGAAATTCCACCAAAACAACAATTGCTTAGTTGACCAAAGAATTGCTCCACCATGGCCAATGCTGGAGCAGCCTTTGGGTTGGAGGACGTGCCGGATTTGCCTGAAGCACCCACGGAACAGCCCAAGTACAACCGGGATTACCATCGTCTCTTCGTCAAATTCATGAGCTGGCTGCACAAGAGGACATACACCAAGGCGGCTCGCTTCCAACCTAGTGCTTTGGCCGGCATCCAACCACACCACGTTGCCGACTACTTGAAATGCGTGCGTATGGTACGACCGATGTTGACTTCAAAACCTCGAGCAGAATCCAACTTGCCGCTCCTCTACTCTTGAGCAAGACAAGAAGGCTATATCCTTCTACATGCCCATCAAAGGTGCCACGTGGAATGGAACCTCCGGCAATCCAACCAAGTCCGATCCTTTGAACGAAGTGGTCAAGGAAGTCAAGAAAGCGGAGAACTCAACACCGCGGCAAGAGTCCTGTGCCACCAGGGATTTGACGGAAACTGAGTATCGCAAGGTGGTCCATGAACTCTACGGCAAAGGGAGCTTTGAATCGACTATCTGTACAGCCTGCATGTTGAAGCAGCAAGTCCATCTCATCACCAGGACGGACGACATCTCCCAAGTTGAAGTATTCCGACTACAAGCCGCATCCAGACTTCCTTTTCGCGCTCAGTTGCAAGGTGCATTGGCCAAGAATATTTCGGAAGAACGACAATCCCTGACCAAATCATTCTTGGGTCGATGGATACGACTTTTGTGCTATGCTCGGATATGGCGAATTACATGGAGGCGTCCTTCAACTACGGGTATGGCGCCGCTGGTCGGGAAGATGCATTCCTCTTTACTCCCGAAAGCGATCCTAAGTTGGCTCCCAAGCACTGCAACGCAGCCACCGCAACATTCTCAAGGCTGTCTTTTTGTCGGCTCCATTTTCTGGCTGTGGCGCTCCTCATTGCTGGTGTTCTTGGGAGTCACAGCATTCGGAAGTTTGCTGCAACTCTGGCAAGAGGAATGGGTGCTACTGCTGACGAAGTTGACATTCGAGGTGCTGGAAGGCTCGCTTGTCTGACGGGTTGTTGATGCCTACATTTCGCCTGAACAGCCTGGATCGACGCTCGTGTTGCGAAAAGCTTTGCATGGGGCTCCTATTGCCTACAAGCACACCCGGATGCCAAGAGAGTGACTCCCGACTGGTTGATTGAGCCTGTGGTGCAAGGACCACGTTTTACGACGGTGTCAACGACATTTCGCTTCACTTGGCTCTGCCTCTTTTGTGGGCTGCTCTTGACGAATCTTGGGAGGAGAGGATGGAGCCTCCCGTTCGTTTTAGGATCCAAGATGCGTACAGCGCATCAAGGCCGATGTTCCTGTTGGCGTCAAACCTGTGGTGAAAGTGCCTCTCTCTATTTGGACGCACAACACCAAGCTCCACATCAAGAAATCGAGCCGATGGATACGAGGTGGCGGTGGCACGGTGGTGGCACCACGGGAACGACCGGCCAGGGCAAGCACTCGTCAAGTTGCCAATCAGCTCGGCAGGTGACGGCTATGCAAACGCAAAAACAGGTACGAACGAACGAGAGATTCTGACAAGGATTATTGCGCAGCAAAACCAGCTCAGCAGCTCATTGCGCAGGAAGGTAGGACCCGCGACAGTTCGGCTGCTGCTTTGAGAGGTTGGTTGGAGACTTGGCTTGGCGCGGAGCTGACGAAACTCAATGGAAATATTTGCAGGTAAGTGTGGACTTGTGGCTGTTGGCTATTGAACTATGGCTATTACTGCTGCTAACTATGTATTTTTGTATGCTTTTTAGGATTGCTGTTCAGCCTCCAAGGATGGCAACACTGATCAGGTAGATGGTAATCTTTTTAGAAATGGTTGACTGTGGAAAGGACTGCCGGAATGGCCAGACTAGCCTCAGGTACAGAAAGCTGTGGCCACCACCCCTGTGATAGTAGGCCTGCCAAACTAGCCAAGTACAGAACTTTTGGCTCTGCTTGGCAAGAGTGGATGCATGGTATTGGTGGCAACAAACCAGCCAAGAACTTCACTGCTGATGATATCAGGGCTTGCAAGTCAACCTACTCCAGGAGGAAGCCACTCTGGACTCTCATGGCTACACTTGTCAATGCTCAGAAAGCTCCAGCTTGGGTCATCTCCAAGATTGAGGAGCATTACAAAGGAAGTGTTTTGAATATTACTGCTGCCATCAAGCAGGACACCATTATGGCAGTCTGCATGAGGATCTTTGTATTGTTCGTGCTCAGTAAAGTTGACCTTAGTTTGATAAGCATGGTAGCCATGCCTAATAGTGAGTCTGTTACATGAGGACTTGTGGATTTTTGTGGATTGTGGCTTTTCGTTTCTTTGCGGATTCGTGCTTGTGTTTTCCGTGGACTTGTGCTTTTCGAACGTACTGGCTGGTAGCTAGCTACCGGTAGTAGCTAGCGATAGAGGACTTGTGCGTTTTCGAGATAATAGATAGATAGAGGTGCGAACGACGTTATCTTAACAGTGAGTAGTAGAGGTGCGAGCCTCATTTTTCTTACAGTCGAGGACGTGACCTTCACTAGGTCGACACTGGTATTAACATCGATCGATCGACCTTGCATACACCAGGTGTCGCCTGGTGTTGGATACCTTGATCAATACGTCCTGTAGGATCCACTACCACAGGTACAGGGGGATGAGCAAATGTTGCTACAGGGCTGTAGTGTACTCAATTGCGACTCGAAATAACAGTTAATAAAGCGAAATGCAAGCTTTCGACCAAAATTAAGATAAATTGGATTGAATTGCACTGAATTGCATTGAATTAGATTGCATTGGATTGAATTGGATCAACAATAGTACTGTTATTTGTATAGTAAAATGGAATTCAATTCAATTCAATCCAATTCAATGCAATCGAATCAAATCAAATCAAATCCAATAGAAAACAAACATCCAAAACATAATATCTCCTTTACAGACACAATTATACAAAAAAGAGCTATCAAATTCAATGCAGTGCTATTGGCATTTTTGCTCATCCCCCAGGCTCTCAGTATTTCTCTCAGTTCAGGGATATACTTTTACGGTACGGCCCAATGGCTCGGTAAGGTGGGAGCATCTGTGAGTCCTTCTGGCGTGCTGACCTGTCAGTCCGGGCCCGAGGCCGGAGAATTGGCCATTGGCCATCAGCACGCAGCAAGCAAGATGGGAGACACTAACGAAGAGGCTTTGGCAGATTTGCAGGTGCTGTTAGAACAGAATGTACAGGAAGGGGCTCAAGAAAATGAAGCGGAGGATAGTAGTAGTGGCGAAGACGAGAGTGACGATGACTGCAGCGATTTTCCCCTTGTGGGAGCCCCAGGTCAGTATTTGTACGAAGATCGCATGAAGCTGACAGAACAAGAACGACGATGGGCTCGGGCCGTCAAGCGGGCTGCGGCAGAAGAGGGAGATCTGAAGCCACTCAGTGACTTATGGTATTGCCAATTTGGAATCATTGACCGTGACAACGTGGAACGATCCCTGGATAGGATACGGACCATGCAGGCATTTCGTGAGGAGTATGACTTTGTGGATTCCTGGGAAGCAGGAGTAGAGTTTGTTCGAGAGCTGGTCTCTGTCATGCCTCGATACTGGTTGGCTCTCAACTACAATCCTCGTGATGGTAATTACGTCTTGGCACTGGATGTAGCCCGCTTTTATGCCAAGATCCTTCAGGCACAACCGGAACTCGTACGCATCTGGATCGTTGCTACTCACTTTGTGACTCATGCCCAGAGTCCTGATTTCAAGGCCATTCGAAAGGGTGGCATACTGCTCATGGAAAATGAAGGCTTTGATTTCAAAAGAAATTTTGGATTCAGCTACATGAAGAAAGTTTACTCAGAAGTTACTGGAGTATACCCCTTCAAATTTGACCAAGTCAAGAATTTCAACACAGGAGTCTTATTCAATATCATACTTTCCATGCTACGGGGAATCGCGTCCAATGAACATTCCCGAAAGCTCCAACGGGGATGCCGCACCGCTGATGGTGTGGATCGACTGGATGAATTCTACTTGAGTTCGGGTCTACAAGTTGCCAATGATAAGCTGATACAATCCGTCAAGGCATCATTGCAATGGAGATTCTACTGCCAATCCAAATTCTCTCTTGAGGAGGCTAATGACGGCAATTAGAGTGAGAGAGATGAGACAATTGTCAGGCATCTTTTTGCAAGACTGCAAGTCCCAACATTTCAGTTGAAAATCTCAAGATGTTGTGGTCCTCCCTGCTCTTTGTTGTGCCCACAGTTGACAGAAACCAACCCACCAATCAGCCAGCAGCCCCATGCTACCAATAACTCAATGGTTACAATCTCTGCCACTTGGTCAAGTCAGTGGCTTGGGGGCAGGAATCGAAACAGCAAGAACTCGGCCGATACCGATCACAAGCAAATAATTTCCTAGAGATCATACAAAAGAAAAGAGAACTGCAATCATCACAAGGGCACAACTTTTTTTCTGGAGGGAGAAGAAGACAACGCTGGCAACAATTCCTTGCTTCTCCTGGTGCGTCGCTTGTTGACTGAAGAATCCACTTCCACAGCAGATTTCGCACAAGGCTTACCTGTTACAGGAAGGTTTTTGTTCTACATGTACAGGCACTATGGATGCAGTCTTCCAACAATTCCCCTAAACTGACGCAATAATCGGCGGAGATCGTGATACACGAAGTGGGGGCAATCTCGGTAGTAGATTCGAATCAGTCGGATCAACCATCCTTCAAAGTTCATCAAAGTTAGAATTGCACACGTTGGATGGATCAGCACTATCAGATTGTGAAATCTTCCTGCGTTGCCTGCTGTAGGTCCCTGGTCGAATGCTGTTTCAGATATGCCGAATCTTTCACGTCCTTGCCCAATCCACCTTTCTTTACTTTGTTCGGTCAATTTCGCCCTTGTCTTGCGTCTGCTAGTAGCTAAAACTTGAATCAATCGACGAGCTTGCGAGCTTGGCAACAACCCGAAGAAGATCCCGGACTCACTCAACTCGGCAATTCGACGGTGCGGACAATTTAGGCAGCTATTTATTAGGCGACGATTTAGAGTACAAATTATTTGGAGCTATGCATACTACAATTTCGGAAGCAATTGACTGTGTAGTTCCGGTCAAAATTGTGCGTAGCTAGAGCCCAGGCAGTCTTTGGCCATACGGTACCAGGTACGGTACCAGTTATGGGAGGAACATGCCTACAAGCCACCGATAGTACACTCAAGGATGATTTTTCACATCTTCTCTTTAGGGTTGCAAGAGGGGATCTACGAGAGGCCAAAGTTTTGCCCCCAAAATCTACTAGTACTATGCTGCGGGTAGTCTGGTGTTTCACAGGATAATTGCTCTTGAATCCGTACCGACTGGTACCGGTACCAGAGGTACCGATACATGTACCGCTACGGTGACAGAACCACCACTTGGAGTATTCCGTTAAATCGTCTCTTAAAGTGCACTATTAGGAGGGAAACAATATCCTTTAAATCGTCCTTTAAGGCACGATATAAAGTGGTAAGATTGCCTTTAAATCGTCGATCTAAGCGTGGATTTAAGGACCCTAGATTTGAGACGCGATCGTACTGTATCGACGATTTCTCGGTGTCTCGGAGTCGAATCGAATCGTCGCACGTCGTGGTACGGTTACGGAAAACAGAGGGGAAAGGATGCAAATTGGATCTTTTCTCATTTTCAAAATGATTGACTTTTCAGAAGGCTTCTGTTCATAAAGGCTGCTTTTTGCTTCTGCAGCTTTCTCCTGTTCAGCAACAGGGAATTCCCGATCATATTTGCCATTTTCTATTATGGTTTGCTGAATTTGTAACAGATTCATCATTTGCATAGAAGTATAGGCTTGAATTTGTTATTTTGTCATTTTACATTCTTGTGTGTTCGAATGAGTCTTTTTTGCCGTTTTCCCTGGAGGTGCTGGGGAGTGGAAGATACACGACGTACCGGTACATGATGCCGCCAAGATTTAGGTGATTGATCGAGAATACCTCAGGCAGAAGATCTCGCAAGATTTATCACTCATCTGTGATTGTTATAAATTGAGTTTTGCCTTACCTATTTTGCGCTCATAAAAGCACTCAATCGAACTCGTCGTCGCACTGATTGCTCTCTCTACAGCCATATATAACTTTCACTCTCTGATATCCATGATGATGATTTGGAATTGCGCTGGTTTCCTTTCGGCAGTGCTCGCCCTCTCGGTGACGGGAGCTGCGAGTGCCCAACAGAAAAAGTTCAAGAACATCATAATGCTGATCCCGGATGGCTGTGACAACGGTGTCCTGGGACTTGCACGTTGGTACAAGAATGCGCCTTTGCAGGTGGACGAGATGTCAAGTGGAAGGCACCAGCCATATATGGCAAACTCCATCATGACCGATTCAGCTCCGGGAGGAACTGCCCTCTCGACGGGTCAACTGACCACGGACAAGTTCATCGCGGTGGGTCCTCGTCGTGAGGACGTGCTGACCAACCTCAACGAAAGAGACCTTTGGCCTGCCTACGCACCCATTCCTACAATCCTCGAAGCTGCCAAGAAATTGGGAATGTCCACTGGCCTTGTTTCGACCAGCCGGGTCACCCATGCTACTCCCGCGGGTTTTGCAGCTCACGTGGACTCGCGCTCCAAGGAACAGGAAATTGCAAGGCACATGGTCTTTAATGGTATCGATGTCGTCATGGGCGGTGGCAGAAACAACATGCTTCCCAAGCCGGAATGCTACAACACAACTGGAACCACCCCCTTTGTGGAAGTTGGCAGGCAAACCGATGAAGGGGAATACTCATCGTCGAACCGTCAAACTGGCGCCCGTGACGACTGTCTCAACTTGGAGGATGAGCTCGTCTCCCGTGGCTACGATTTGTGTTATACCAGGCAAGAAATGATGGCCATGGACGTCAAGCCCGGAACCAAGGCTTGGTGCAGCTTTGCTTCCAGCCACATGGCTCCTGATATTGATCGTCAGTTCATTGCCCAGACCGAGCCATCCTTGGCGGAAATGACCGACAAGGCAATTGAGATCTTGTCTCAAAACCCTGCCGGGTTCTTCCTCATGGTCGAAGGGTCTCAGGTGGACTGGGCTGGTCACGCAAACGACGTAAGTGCTCCTTTCTCGAGGTTTGGCGGTGTGTTGCATGCAGAGACTTTGCGATTGGTACTCTAACACTGTCTTTACAACACTTTTGATGATGGCCAGCCCATCTGGATGGTGACAGACTTTATTGCATGGGATGACGCTGTGAAAGTCAGGTAAGTGGTCTGGCTGGCTAGCAAAATGCGCAATGCCATACGACGTTTTCCGCGAGATTTGCTCAGATTGCAGTGCATTCTTTCGTCCAGCGTTGATTTCGCCAAGGAAACTGATACTCTGGTGATGGCTCAGCCCGACCACAACACAGGAGGACTCAAGGTTGGAAGCTACAAATTCGAGTATGTCGACCGCACTGGTAAGTGCAGACGAAACAATTTTATGGGTGTGACGACATTCACAACGCCAGAGTCCATGCTGCTCACAAAACTGAATTGATCATGATCGAACAACCTCCAGTTGAGTTTGCTCGAGAACCCTTGCTCGGTATGAGGATGACTTCCGAGGCGGTTGTGGAGGTGAGTAGCACAAAACGCATAATGCCGCCGCCTGCAAAACTCCACTCATGCATCCTACCTTTATTCGCAATGTCATAGAAAATGGGCGTCCCCGAGGAAAATGCTACCGTTGCACTCTTGAAGGCATCTATCCTGGAAAACTGGAGTATCAACATTACTGACAACGAAGCCCAGCAAATCCTTGAGTACAGTGACAGGTACTCCGACAAATTCCTTTCCAATCCATCGGATAAAATTCCATTGAACTATGCGATGTCTCGCATTGTCTCCCATAGTTACACCATTGCTGGCTGGAGCTCTCATGGTCACAATGCAGAAGATGGTACGTAGCGTTTGGCGCAGCCAAATCCACTCCCGAGCCTACAAACAACACTGACTTTTCGTGCTCATGATCCCCCATACGTCCGTACAGTGCCCTTGTGGTTCTACGGTATGGACGTCCCCAAGGGCGCCATTTTGAACACTGATCTTGGCAAGATTGCTGCTGACGCCTTGGGAGGCTTGTCCAAGCTCAATCGAGATCTGTTTGTGGATCTCGATACTACCTCTTTGACTTGGAGTGTTGACTTGAGTAAAGAGACCAACCCCCACGCCTTGGTTGAGGGCTTTGTGTTCCCCCTGGGAACAGACTACTTCTTGAACAATGGTGTCAGGGTGAATCTTCCCGGAATCACAGTCTACGCACCCACGACGGAGAAGCTCTATATCTCCATGGAAGCTATCCAGATTGTGCAGAGCTTGGCTTGAATTTACGTTTAAAAGGGTGAATGAATGGAATGATTGATTGATGGCTACGTGATGCCCTAAGGCTCTAGGAAACTTGGCACGTACGCTTCCTAGTTTGGCAATGATGACATACATATGGTACAGGTTCCATCAGGTCTCCAGGCGTGGTTGCAATGCACTGATTGATCTGTGTGTTTGGAAATGGTGTAAAGAAGAAGTCTTTCATGCAAATTTCCTAACTCAACCGTAGCAAAGTGACTCAACTAAGTTACTGTTGATTTTACTGAGACAGCTCGCAACACAGGCTAGCTAGAATGGTAACTTTTTGGGTTGTTTGGCCTGACATTTCCATGCTTCTATGGTACTGGTGAAGCGTGGGATTGTTTGGGCAGGCTCCACAGACTTTTATTGCACAAGTTGATTGATTGGCTTCTCCGGCGATTCTCTGGATCATTTTAGGATTTTGAGTCGCTCCCTATTGCATATGGTAGACTGCAGTGTCATGTCCCGAAGGTCTGCCTTGACACTGCTGATTGGGCTGTCTCGCCATACTATGGTGCTAACTAACTTCGATGCATGATGTTCCTTTGCTGAAGGTCGCGGGTGGTGTGAGTCTTTGATTGCAAAGTTTTGGAGAATGTAGTTGAAGGAAGTTTTTTGGCGTAAGAGTCTAATCTTCTACCTTTTCATTCTCTTGGAGCGCGGTCAAAGTATTTGCCCAGCCAATCTAATTTGAGGTTTCGTTGGGTTGCCCCAATGTTGTCTTCCATTCCAGTGTTGAGGCACTGAAAACTTGACACAAGTTGTTTGTGCCTTTTCTTTCTTGCCTAGTCTGCAGCCAGTTGCAACAAAGTTCATGGAACTCGGGTGCAGGTAACGTCTTTGGTGAGCTTCCTTGATAGGTCGCCCGTGAACATCCTAGCTACCAGTAGTAGTTGTGTGGCGAGACACGGGTTTGGTGGGGATTGACTGCTGGGGGGTGGCGGGGCTCAACCTAATCGATAGATAGATGCATACGGTAGAACGCAGCCCTACTGAGGTGATTAGCATGAAATATGTAGTAGAATAAGTAGTGTTTATGTATCTCATGTATGTATGTGGGTATATTAGCAAACAAATGATCGTGTTGGTTTTGTGCAGCCTCGGAATTGTACATGGAGGGGCACAGGAGGGAGGGAGGGAGCCTTGGCATCATTATCATAAGGAAGTATACAAGCAACTGATGAGCGAGTTGCGTCCTTATCTTGCTTAGGCCGCCGCAGCGGACTGCTTGGGCTGCAACACGTGTGACAAGGCATTGTGAAAGAATAGATCAAACTGAAAGACGCGTTTTTGATCTCCACAATGAGTGACCCAGACGACACTGCCCAGCATTTCTTCAAAACAGGCTTGAGCCTCTTGTCTTTGGTCGAGCAACCAATGGACATGTCCCAAGTTGTTGAGCAGTGCCATGGACTCCATGACTCCGACCACCATGCATTCTTGTTTTTTGTGTTCTTGATGAATGAGATTGTAAGCGGTCTGGTACAGTGTCAATGCCTTTTGGAGACGACGGTGTTGTCGGTCGTCGTTCTTCTTGGTGTGTTGTGCAGCAAGTGCCGAGAGATGAAAGGAAATGGCCAAGTTGTAGAGAATGGCAAAGGAGAGCTTGACCATGGGTTTTTGGTCAAATGACGAAGAGCTGGAACTGCTAGAACGAGAGCGTCGTCGACTGCCGCGGACATCGTCCAAGACAATCAGAATGGGACTTTGAAAGCTGTGGTCATTGCTAGGGGTAGTGGCTTCTTCTTGTTCTTCTTGTTCTTGTGGTTCCGTGGTGGCGACCGTGTCGTCATCCGTAAAGGACGAGGAGGACATGTGGTTGCTGTCCGGTGTGTTTGGAAGAAAACGAAAGGCAAAGGAGTAGCGAGAGAGTTCTTCCGCGGGGGAGGAAGTGGTAGAGAAGAGGTCGTCGAATTCATCTTCTAGGTCATCATCATCATCATGGTCGTGAGTGGCGAGCAGGTCCTTGACCTTGGTCAGGCAGGACGAAAAGGCAGTGATGGCCTTGGAGTATTTCTTGGATTGCAACAGCTTGGTTCCCTTGGTGTTCAGTTTCAACACGGATTCGACAGTCTTGGCGCAAGAACTCATGTTGATGGCAGAATAGATAGATAGATACTGGATGAAAGTAGTAGTGGGTGGTGGTGGTAGTAGTGGTTGGCTTCTTTTCGATTTTTTATGACAGGAGCTTCGCTTTTCCAGATCTCCTCTTCGTAGCTTCTGGTCTCGGTGATGTAAGGATGTCCGGAGGAAACCTTCGCAAGCGAGATTCGATTTAATTCCAACACAGCAGCTACTAGTCTAGTCTAGTCTAGCTAGCAAAAAGTCAAACAGTCCAAGCAAGCAATTGCGTTATGGATGTGTGTATGCAGCAACGAAGTAAGTAGCTAACAAGTTCAGCGAAGGCTAGAAGGGAGACAAGAACAAAGCACAGGATAAGAATTCTGAGGAAGAGGAGTGGAGTGTATTGGCTACATGAATAGTCTAGTCTAGCTGATCAAATACCGCTTGGCATCGTAGGTCTCAGACTCTCAAGTCTTGACCTCTAGTAGCTCTTGGCCTTTCGGTGACTCCTGGTGAGATACGATAGCCACCAAGCTAGCTAGCTACAGCTACTACCGGTAGCTATGACGGTACCAGTTGATAAGAATCCTAAAGGTCACAAATAAATTGTGCATTAATGACCCTTCCTTATGTCACCCAACTACAGGAGGCTAAATGCATTGCCCTCAGAGAACAATCGTTCCTTCTTCACCAGCTGCGAAGACTCTACAATAGCTCTACAATTTCGTTATGCTGTCACTTCTTTATGCAAAGGTTTAGAGGACCGTCTGACCGGTCATGTTGAGCAATTGGAAATCGGTCCCAGGTTGAAGTACTCCTGTAGTAGAAGGTTTTACGATGTTGCCCTTCAAGGTAGGTAAAGAACACTCACGTACTATTTTCAAATAGTAGAGCTACGGTACGCGGAAGCAAACATACAAACATACATCAAACGAACCTTCCTCAGTATTCAGCGCACCAGCCACATTCATGATTAGATGAGTCGAGTCGAGTCGAGTCGGTGAGTATGCATAGCAAGCTAGCAGGTACAGTACTCTAGTACTGTACTAGCTAGTAGGATAGAGAGGCTAGAGGATCATTGGTGGAGGAAGCAGGACGACAATGGAGTTACCTTTATTTCCGGCTACACTGGAGATTGGCTGGAGATGATGAACTGGCTGGCAAACGCAATGAAGGCAGCGAAAGGAAACTGTAAACGCAACGCTATTTAGTTGCTCCATGCCTGCGATGGCTCCTCCCCTTTTCGACTGAGTTTGGGGAAACTGGCTGGGTAAGGAATCAGCCACAACAACTCAGCTCTACAGTTCGTGCCCCTTTACTTGAGGGCTTGCCATAGCGAGTGCCAGTGGTTGGACGGTGGGTCGCTTCTCAGGAGGAGGGGCATCTATCATCTGAACAAGCAAGCAACCTCCATCATCATGAGTTGTTTCCTGATCAACACATACGTGCCCACTGGCTGCGACTTAGAGTGGTTGCTAAACCCCCCAGTTAGGCCTTCTCCATCCAGGTCTCCAACCGAGAAAAAGAAGTGCCTCTTGCTCTTGAAGATGTCGCCACATGTACAGTGGAAGCAACTCTTGACGATCAACAAGCCTGGCTACTATCGTTCCATACAGACACCCTACGACTACAGACCTGTAGCTTTCCTATACCTAGTACGACTGTAGTTAGTCTGATCCTAGCTTGTTTGTGCCACTGCATTGGTTCAGACAAGAGTGACGAGTCGAGTCCCCTGCCAGCTGCCGCAGGCCATCTTGAAACGCACCCCTCTTGTTGCCACCTTGATCGCAACGACTTGATCATTTCGATCTGCCTGCTTGTGTTTACAGCCCCGCCGGTTTATATCTTTTACGGTGCCTCATTTTTTCGCTTCTTCAGAAGATCATCCACCAATCCACCACCCTTCGGTCGGATGAGATTGATTAGCACGTTTGAGGAGACGAAGAAGTATATGTAATGGCACTCTTTACCCGAAAATCTTTCACGATGTCAAGATCCCGGTCTCGTATTATGATTGCGTCTCTGTTGTTCGTTTTGGTGCTACAAATCGAGCTTGTTGGATCCGTCCAAGAAGAATCACACCATACTACAGAATCTTCCACCATATTCAATGAATCATCCGAGAAACATCCCAACATCATAATGATTGTGGTAGATCAAGAAAGGTATCCTCCTCATTATCTACCGAATCATGTCAATAATTGGCTGAAGAACCTGCCAGGCAAAAATGCATTCACTCATCATGGGTCTGGTTCCACACAGTTTGTGTCCCACAGAACTTCTTCCATGGCTTGTTCTCCCTCTCGAGCCACTCTTTATACCGGCCAAATGCCATCTGTGCATGGTGTCACTCAAACGTATGGATTGGCGAAAGCTGCCAATGATGATGCCATGAGTTGGTTACAACTCAACGATGTCCCCACCATGGGCCACTACTTTCGTGCCGCTGGTTATGATACCTATTTCATTGGCAAATGGCATATGTCCTTTGAAGATATTATAGACCAGGAGGGATATATTGTACAAGAGCCACAAGCATACCGAGATGCCAATCGGCTCGACAAGTGGGGCTGGGACAGGTGGATAGGTCCCGAACCACACGGTACTAGTTTTTCCAATCTGGGATTGAAACGAGATCCCAACTATTTCCAACAGTTTCAAGAGCTACTTTGGGAAAAGGAACAACAATACATACAAAACGAGAAGAGCGGTATTCCCAACAAACCGTGGATTGTGGCGTTGAATTTTGTCAACCCGCATGACATTTGTGTCGCAGAATTGCCTTTGTTGCCGGCACTGGTGGTTCCATTGTATTCTTCTTTATTAGTGTTAGACCACCCACTCGAAGAAGTACCGCTACCACCCACCTTTGACGAAAACCTCTTGGACAATCACAAACCAGCGGTTCAGCATCAATATGCCACTAGACTCCACCGGATGCTACCCTTTCCCGTATTCTGGAAATTGTTTTTGAGACTATATCTCTTTTTGATTCAAACCGTGGATGAACACGTTCATCGTGTCATGACACGGCTGGACCTATCCGCCGTGTTTGCCGATAATACCGTTCGGGTGTTTACAGCAGATCACGGTGACATGAACGGTGCTCATGGGGGCATGTTCCAAAAATGGTATCAGGGTTATGAAGAGGCCCTCCATATCCCCTTTATTGTCAGAGACCCTCGAAGGAAGCATGACGCTACAACTACAATTGCAGAGACGCCGACGCAGAGCTTGGATGTACTACCAACCCTGCTATCCTTGGCAGCTCTGAACACGACAACCATCCATAAAATCCAGGAGAAACTTCGTCACACCCACACCGAAGTCCATCCTCTTCCCGGCCGAGATTTGACGCCTCTCATGGCGACGCGACAAGAAGAACATGGCGGCGACGCGATTACGGCAGCTGTGGCACCAACCGAATACGACATTGATGATACCACTACTACCGCAGCCATTAGCTACTTTCAACTGAGGGACGAAATATCCAAGGGTCAGCAGCAAGTCCACCCGATCGTTCGACTCTATCCCATTATTCGTTTTCTGGGAAATTGGAAGTACAATGCCATTGGATACGATGCGCATGACAGCACCAAGGACGTACCAACGTCAATTGAAGGAATCGTGTTTCAAAGAGCTTCCGATCATCACGTCCTTAAATTCATGAGATACTACGACGATCCACTGGCGTGGTCTGAACCAGGTGTTAAAGACGTTCGGATTGATCGTGAACGACCTGCAATTCTCGAGCTCTTATTCGGGTTGCCACCTCCCGTGGAGAGAACTGAGCCTATACCCGACACATGGGAGGTGTACGATCTTACCACGGATCCTTCCGAAATGATCAATTTGGCTGGGGATTCCAACTTTGCTTCCAGTACTCTTGGTATTGAGCTGCAACGCACTTTGGACAAGGCCAGAGCGCGATACCACGGGAAACGCAACCATCCATTGCCCCCAGCAAGCGAACGTAATGCCCATTTGCCAAAACAAGTCAAAGAGCACATTGAAAGCCCGTTCGTTCACATGGCATTTGTCTACTTGACGGTGCCCGCTGTCTACATTGTTGGGGCGGGGATGCTTTGGTTGCTACTGATTACAATAATGAGAGTGGGGAAATCCGTTAGCAACAAAGTAAAGAATGACTAAAAAATAATAAACCGCGACACGAACTTGAATCAGCTAGCTAGTTGGTTCAAGGTACCAGTAGCTAGTCCTTCAGTTCTCTACTATGAATGTTATTACTCAGCTGGCGGGTTTTGGCTGCAATTAATTCGGCAACCGCGCGCAATTGACTGTCATTCGAGTCAACAGACACACCGGCTCTTTGTCATCTTTGTTAGTTTAGGGAGTTTATTGCGCAACCCCATTCTGCTGCCAAAGATCCAGCGGCCGACGCACAGACCATGTCAAAAGAACAAGTTGTAAAAATATTAAAATTAAATTAGCAGACTTTAATTTCAAATTGAACTCAAAAGGACATCCCCAGCGATCGCCGGCGATATCGCCAATGTCGCCGGCGATCGCCAAGATGCCTCGTGGGACTCAATTTGAAATCAAAATTCAGTTTGAAATTGAGTCCCACAAAAGTGTTGCCAGTGTTGCCGGCAACACTGGCAACGTTGCCGGCAACACTTGGCAACACTTGGCAACACTCTTGAGGTGCACAATTTGAAATCAAATTCTGATAATTTAAAAATAATTACTAGTATAAGTCTTGGCAGGACTCACTATGAGTGATTGGATTGGATTGGATTCGATTCGATTCTCTTCTTGGAACTCAACGACGATGTTCTGAACCCTTGACCATGAGCTTGATGGATCCAGGTGCCGTAGACTGGTAGACTACTAGCTAGTACGGTAGAGGGAACGATGTGTGCCACATTACTGCGTGTAGCAGTAGTAGTACCGGTACCCCTGCCAGGGATGTTGGGTGAAAGGCAGCTGCGGGAATGAAGTAAAGTTGATGTGAACCGCTCGCGCGAAGGAGAGACCCTGGTTTTCCGGTTTTGACTTCCCCAGACCGACGCGCAAAAAATAATGACGGACGTGCACTCAACATCCTTGCCGCAGCGTTGCTCTTTTATCCGGCTGTCGAGCATAGACTTGTGCTATGCATCTACTGTATGTATTGGTTGAGTGCGAACAGGACCATGGCCATAGCCAACGTTGCCGTGGCACCAGGGAATTGGAACTCTTCTTTGAGAACAGTTATGGCGGCATCAGCCAGCGAAATTGGAAGTCTCTTTGAGAACCGAACCCCACAGTACCGTTCTCATCACCTGGTGATCCGATGCATCATTTCTAAGCTACCAGCTGCCCCGCAATTCCATAAGCCCAAGACGACTTTTTGCCTCCATCACTTTTGATCTTCTACTGCTCTTCTCCAACTACTAGTATGCCATCAATGTTCCTGCTACACAGTGTAGCCCTTGTTTCTGCGTTGTTGACAGTTCAACTACCCGCTCCAGTATCCGCCTACTGTAGCATAAGCACGACCTATTGTGTACCAAAAGATGGATTCAAATATGAAGATGTTGGTTGTGGGTCATCGAGTGAGTTAAATACCGTAGAGACTTGGTAGCCGAAGGCCTTCTATTGATCCCTCGCTCCTCATCCCTCAACCTCACACATTCTTTGACCGCAATTGTTGTCTTGCATGTTCCCGCGTTGCTTCATAGCCTCCTTTATCAGTACACGTTCTTGCTATGATTGCTGCACTACATCTGCATGCAGCGCTGCTTACGGATGTGAATGGGATCACGGAACTCAAGCTGGCGTTTATGCTGCAATCGCTGGGATTATTCTTGGAGGCGCTCTCGTTGTCCTCGGCATAGCTTGGGTGATTCGGCGTTGCATGTGTCCTAACCAAGGAGAACAACAGAGTCAACAAGAGCAACAACAACGTGAGGCCACCTTTCCACCGCCACAACCAGTGAAAGCAGTGCCTATCGTTGCGACCATACCAACCCCCGACCCCACGCACACGATGGAAGATTCTTCTGTCCTCTATGCATGAATCGTCCTGCTCATCAAACGATGCTGACTGAAGATATCATCACTAGTCAATCAATGCCTGCCCCGGCTTGCTTATCGCTCCTGGGCTTGCTGTTATGGTCCATCCTTTCAAATAAATCGGCTACAATACTCCAAACACTGCAAACTAACTGTAAAATGCTTGATGAACTTATTAGTATTCGATTCCGAATCAAGGTCACCCAGCCTTCCAGGGCCAGGGCCCAGAGCTAAGCACACCAACTGACCTCATCGCTGATCTGGCCCCGCATCTACCTTTTCCTCTTGCTTTCAACTAACTGATCAGATCTGCCAAGCCATTTCGCCAGGATTAGTGCAGTATGGAATCAGATGTGCGACTTCTTCAATCTTGTTCCTCTCAAGGAACATTCGTCGCCTCGCTTGTTTGTGGCTGCCACATTGGAGATCTAAAGCAAGCGTTCCCCATTCGCACCAAGCAAGCTTTCGTTCGGAAAGCAGAACCAGACTGGGGTGGTAGCCTACCTACTCTTCTTGCCTGAAAACTGCTTCCTTGTGGCCCTTTTTTGCGGAGGAGCCCAGAAGCACCCTGGCCTTTCAGGCAGAGCTTGCATACTTGACAAGAAAGAGTTATCGGATTCAAAGCAATCTAGCTGCCCCAAGCCGACCACCACACTTGCAAACTACAGCTTTTTAGGATGATGCAGTAATGATATGGAAGTTATGTACCGATTACTAAAAATGTATTGGTACTGTATGTATCATGCTGTACCGTAGCAAAGAAGATATGGAAAATGGAGTGTGCTTGCTTTCTAAGCGGCTTGAGCGACAGGTGCTCTTGGCAACAAAGCAGGAAGGACATTTTCGTAAAAGCGATCAAACTGGTGAACCGAGAGTTGGCCACCGCAATCTGTCACGTAAACCATAATGCTGAGAAGCTTCTCGTAGCATTGGTGTGCTTTGGGTGGATTGCCCAGGACGCGGTGGACCTGGGCAATGTTGTTGATGATGGCCATAGTCTCGGTCAGACCATGAATCCGTTCATCTTGCATCATGTTGTAAGCAAGTTCGTAAAAGACCAGGCTCTTCTTGACCCTTCGCTCCGCCACCTCCATGTTGGGTGTATCCAATCCGCCAATGTGCATGGCCACGGCAAGGTTGAACAAGAGAGAAAAGGAAAAACGAACCAACGAATCCAGGCAGGTGTCAGTATCCTCCTCCATCAACATGGTGGTGCGCTGGTCAGCGCGAGACGCCGTAATTGGAGTCGTAAAGATGAAAGACTCTTGTTCCTTGCTGCTGGCGCTCTCGGCACCCGCCATTTGAAAGGTCAAGAGGTCATCGGTACTAGTCTTGCTGCCATCTTGCGCACCCAGAACTTGCTTGAGGTGATTCAGGGCCTTATGGAAATAGGGGATTGCATTGATGAATCTACCTTGATTCATCAGTTGCACTCCGCCATCGTTGAATTGGATGGCAAGGTCGACAAGGTTCTGAGAAGACATGGTTTTGCTGTGTTGATATTATGATGGGATGCTGAGTAGAGAGTTTGTGGTACTTGTGTTTTGTGTGTGAGAGAATTTGGATTGTGAGTCTTCTGCAATGTTGGGAAGATCAATAGTCAAGATCGTCAGTAATAACCAGTATGTTCCGATTGGCGCTGGCGACAAAAGAGCTTAAAAGCTCCTTACTCTGTTGACCCTTTTTTCGAATTGCCCCCGCAAGCCACGTAAGACGTAAGTGATGATGGAGGATAAATGATTTAAAAGAAAAGACCTCGGCATACCACAATCCAAAAGGAGTTCGCAGAAGGGCCTTGACTGTGAATCTATTGTACCTCAGTTCTGTAAACCTTTTTAGTTTCTAGATTAGCTGTACCAATGGAATTATGGTTAAATACTCCTTAAACCTGAATATTCATGTAAAGACAGTGAAAGCAGCGAAATGAAGTAGTGGTGGCTTAACATTCCTGACTTTGCACGTGGAAGTCTTGCCTTGATCTCTTCTATCGGATTCTAATGACCTCAATAAGCTCCAGGAAAACCTCAATGGTATTACTTAATAAAAGCTTGGAGCTCTTTTGGCTGGAACTCCAAGCAAAAAGAGGCAACTCTGTAATAAATCTAATACAGTAAATCCAACCAAAGGATTCGACCATTGCGCGGGTCTAACGCTGCGCAAGAGATGATACGAATGCTAATAAGTGCACCCTTCTGGTCTTGACTTCTTTTTCTTAGACATTTGAATCCTAAAGACCTTGACGGAGGATAACATACATGATTAGGAATCAGTAGTTTTAAAATTTTTGGGCAATTCGTGATCAAGTCCGCCAGAACGTCAGAACAGAGCTGAAGCGATTTCCCCATCGTAACCGTAATTCATTTGTGCTCTCCCTTTAAAGCTTGGTTGGTATTTACTGTTTATTCCTTACTGCCATGAGGTCAGTAAAAGGAGCAGTAATGGCAGTAATGCAGTAATTCCTCAGTAGCAGTAATTATGCACAGTAATTTAAAGCCAATTGAAGGCAGTAAACTACAGTAATTGCAGTAATAAAGGCTAATTACTGTGCTTTTACTGTCATTTACTGGATATTACTGTTGCAAAGGCAGATTACTTACTGAATGGGATTACTTACTGCAGTAATTAGGTGGCCAACAATGGCAGTAATTGGACAGTAAGGAGCCAGTAACCCGGATTTACTGCAGTAAATACCAACCAAGCTTTAAAGAGATAGAATGCCAAGTTGCATGAGCTTCAGAATGCCATCGAATGCATCTGACATGCTCAAAACAACTACTGAACAACTCTGTTCAAGCAACATTCTTCATAGAAAGGCCCATAGCCACAGCTGTGAGGGATGCGAGCCATCTTAGCCGTGAAAGACTTGGTAAACACTGGTAGAATTGCCAGACTTATGGTTGGAGAAGTTCTTAGTGCTAGCATGCTCCCACTGGCTGGCATCAAGAGCAAAAGATTGTTCTAGATGTTGCAGAGCTTATTCTGGAGAGCGAAGGTGGTGATGACCTTGTCTGGGCAATTGCGTCCTGGCAACAAGATTGTGCTTGTTGATCCCAATGGTCAAAACTGACTCAAGGCTGCTGAGAAGAGGATGAATAGTTTGTGGAACAAGCAAACTGATTACTACTTTGGTTTTGTCAAGTCCCCTTGATGAGACAAAAGTGCAAGAAGCTGCAGTAGCTGTACTACATGTACATAGCAGCTGGGCATCATTCACTGCCATATTCAGTCAGAAATTATAATCGCCAAGCAATGGCCCTATTGTGCCTACTGGAGTTCTTTGTCTAAGTTTGGAACAATCGCTGTGGGTTCTTGGTGGCACTTGGAAGCCAATTTCTTGTTGAATGGGATGGGAAAGCCTGAAAGTCCCACCAACCAGCCACGACCATGGCCACAACACTTGTCTAATTCTGTAATCTGAAACTGAAGCTCTTTGAAGCACCCAGGCAATGTCCGCTAGAGGTCATAACGACATGCTCGGCAAAGCATGCCTGGTAAAGTGGACAGCTGGAGCAGTTGCGAAGAAAGAGAAAGCCAGCCACCGGTAACTACGAGGAGGAGGATCGAGAGACTTCAAGCAGCTACCTGTGAACTAGTAGCTACTCTGCTACTCTAAGCTTAACTATCACCTCTACATGATTGAGCCATACCGATACCGGCACAGAGACCCAGAGATTGGTCTGTGATGTCGCGGGAAGTGCGTCGTTCTATCGATTGATGGTCTTGCGGACAATAGATAGTCTACATGCAACTCTAGTAGGCAAGCACGTCATGTTTCCGTAGAAGTGTGAACCAGCCACTGTCTAGGCAGCCATGGCTGGCTTGGGTATTCTTCTAAAAGCTACCTGGGCAGCATTTTCTTTTCGATTGGCTGTCTGCTTACCGGTAGAGAGCCTATCAATGCTGGAATGAAGACTTCATTTGCTTGAGCGAAGAAGGAAAGCATGGCTGGTCCCTTCTTTTCTTGCCTTCCCAAATCATCACCGGTCCTTCACGACTCCTCCCTCGGCGATCTTCCACAACCATCTCTGCTGGCTGTTAAATCTTGGCGGACCTGATGTTTTGCTTTGCCGTAGCAGAATGTACATGTAGTTAGACTAGCTAGCTAGTTGCTCTCATAGTAGTCCTAGTACACTTCATTGGGTGTGTGTCTTGCTGCTTGATTGGTTTCCTGACGAGGATATGACGATATGACTGGCTTGAAGGAAGGAGGACGAAGTACCGCTACAATCCATAATAATGACTTCTTTGACAAGCAAACAAAGTGCATGGCTGGTGCAGGAAGAAACCAGTCGGAAAAAACCTGTCGCCGCTTTGGCTCGGCACAAGATCAGCCCTGTGCTGCCCCCGAGAACGCTAATGGCAGTGCCATGAGTCGAGTCAGCTTTGTCCCGCCAAGGTGGTCTCTGCCGATGAAGGGCCAACCCGTTTCTCACTGGCATTGCTACAATTAAAATCAATAATTGTCGTCACGCGCTTGATGCGTTCATGAAATCCAACACGCTCTGTCCACTGGAAACTTCCACGGTTGTGCCCGTGGAGCTTTGGTCACGATCTGAAGAATGTGATTGAATTCGATTCGATTCACGTGTGCACACAAAATTGCCGCCGACAAATCCCCAACAAGAAGATCCCGCCGATCCCCGACTGATGAAGACAGAGGAGCAAAGCTGATGTCGACCCTTCTTTTCTCATTTCATTCATCCAACACAGCAAGAAACAGAATAGAAAATTGACCATGGCCACTGCGAGCACCCCCCACAACAACAACAAAAACAACAATGGCAACAATAACGACGCCGATACTGTGTGGTTTTGGAAGACGGACGATGAATCCTGGGAATTGTACAGCGAGGCGGACCGTGCCACGCTGGAACAAGCGCTTCACGCAGGGGAAACCTCCGTCATGCTCATGGATACTGCCACGGGAATCCCAAAGTACGAGTGTCACTTGGCGCAAGTACCCATGAAACAAGAAAATTTGCAGACCAACCACACGAGAGAAATTTGTCGGGGATGGCCTGAACAAGCAACGGCTGCTGCTACTGCGTCCAACCGGCACCGCCAAATCGCTCGCACAAGAGGGCCTGCTGCTGCTGCCACTTTCCTCAGGCCTGTCTTTGATGGCGATTCCGACAGCGACGATGATGAAGAAGATGAAGAAGACGAGGATGATTACTCTTCCGATGGCAACAACAACAACAGCAAACTGCCAGATCACGTGCGGAAACTCATGGAAGAAGTGGGCAATGATCCTACCGAAATGGTGGATGCGGCTCCACCATCTTTTATATGTTCACTGTCGTGTGGAATCATGCGAGAACCAGCAATGACCATGGTCGGAAGTACCTACGAAAAAGTCATGATTCAACAATGGCTGGCAACCAAGAAAACCGATCCACTCACCAATCAGTACCTCACATCCGATAATATTCGTGTCATTGATAATCGCGCACTCAAGGATGCCATTCAATCTTGGAGGGAAAACTATGAAGAGGAACAAAAGCAAAAGAAGAAACAGCAAGAAGAAGAAGATTCCAAACCACCTGCCAAACCCAAACCAACAACCACACAAAATGGTGCAACATCCCCAACACAGAACGACACCACCACAATTAACACCATCAGCCCAGTCGCAAGGGACCCAGGTGTTGCTGCTGCTTCCAATAACGATAGCAGTGGTGATTTGGAAGAGGGAGAATCACGTCAGGTATCTTCCCACACCAACGGTGACGTGTACACTATCAAACTCATTCGGGGAGTCTATTCCTGTTCCTGTCCGGCATGGATCTACCAGGGAGGACCCATTGATCGTCGATCCTGCAAACATTTGAAGGAAGTTCGTGGTACTGTACCGGAAGCCGAACGAACCAGCGGAAACAACAATACCAATAAACGCAAACGCACTGTCGCCTCTTTGGACGGCAAGACCATTTGTTTTACCGGTGCCTTGCGCCAAATGACACGGGCCAAAGCGCATGCCCTGGCGCAAGAATGTGGGGCCGTCGTACACATGTCCGTCACGCGAAACACGGATATCCTCGTGGTCGGACGCCGACCCGGAATGAAAGTGTCCAAAGGAGACGAATCCGACCGGTGTGAATTGTGGGAAGAAGATGATTTTGTGGCGGCCACAGAGAATGGCGCGATGACAAGCACAACAGCAACAACGGCAACAACGGCATCCAACCGTCGTAGTGGCGGCGCAGGAGGCAACAGTGATGATCAAGATGCCAGCATCCCCGCCAAGATTATGCTGGCTCACAGTTACAAAAAGGACAATAGAATGGATCCAACGGGCTGGCTCATGAGTGAAAAACTCGATGGGATGCGAGCTTGGTGGGATGGACACACGAGAAAGCTCTGGTCGCGTCAAGGCAAGGCCATTTATGCGCCCGATTGGTGGCTTCAGAGTCTTCCCCCTGACATTATTTTGGATGGGGAATTGTGGCTGGGACGAGGCAAATTCCAAGAGTGTATGAGTATCGTACGACGACAAGATCGGCCGCAAACTTGGAATGAAATTACATTCGTCGTCTTTGATGCCCCCGATGGTACTACCGTCTTTGATGGATACGAAGAGCGCTACAAAAAGGCAGAAGAAGCATTGAAAAAAGTTTCGGCGGCACAACAATTCGCAAAGTTGCATCCGTACGAAATCTGTGACGGCAAAGAGCACGTCAAGTCCAAGCTGGAAGAGCTAGAGCAACAAGGCGCAGAAGGGCTCATGTTGCGAAAGCCGGGATCGTTGTATCGGGGAGGCAGATCCAATGACTTGCTGAAGGTCAAGAGTTCCCGTGATGACGAAGCGGTGGTGGCATCGCACGAAGTCGGACGTGGTCGTCATGGTGGTCGTCTGGGGGCGGTTCATGTGGTGAACCGGGCTGGAAAACGCTTCAAAGTCGGTTCTGGATTCACCGACGCACAGAGAGAAGACCCGCCACCTGTCGGCAGTGTCATTACGTATCGCTATAACGAACTCACCAACAGTGGAATTCCGAGGTTTCCTGTGTTTGTCCGAATCAGACCCGATGTGAGCGCTGCTGATGTTCAGGCAGGCCATTCATCCGCGTCCGCGTCGTCGTGATGAACGACAAATAATCCATTGAAGCCAAGCGAAACCTTTTTAACTTTGGCATTATTCACAGTGAGGCGCGGACGCCACGAGATGGGCAATAGCGGTTCAGCGGACGCCCCAGTCACGATTTCTGCGCCGATGGTGGGGCTGGTGGCTGCTGGGCGTCGGCGGGACGACAAGGACAAAGATGATGTTATGTGGGTAGCTAGATAGCGCCTAAAACTAAACGATCTAAATGATGGTACAGGTACGGTGCTCAGAAGTTCTAGATCAAGTCCAATCCTCGCATCCTTCTCCGGGCTGGCACATCGAAAAGCCCAAGGAAGCCAAGACCGGGAAGGGGAGCAGCAACATCCAGGCACGAACACTCTAGAGTTCGCTCAGCATGCCATTTGACTTCAGTTCCCTTCCATCGTCTTCATATACTGCTGCCAGCTCTTGCAGACCAAGTCCATGCTTGGATGCATAAGAGCATTGGAGGATGTCCTTTCCCGTAAGTTTTCCATCCACCATGTATTCCACGCCCAGCAGTCGTTGATTCCAGTAGATGATCTCATCCAGCAGTGGTGTCTCTACACCCACCATTAGTGCAAAGTCCTTGAAGGCAATCAATCCAAATGGGAGGTCTGTCTCAAAGAACTTGTGTCTCACATCTGGGACCACCCCACCGTCGACCTGGATGTATGGTAGCTTGTGGTGTGCATAGGCAAGATTGCTCATGAAAATCGCATCCATACCATTTGTGTTGCGGACAAGATCACCATAATTGGCAACGATGTTGTGGCCCAGCTCCAAATTCTCCTTGAGCCCTTCTGACTTGGGAATTGCTTTTCGTAACTCCTGCACAATCAGCTGGACCTCATCATCCAATGCCTGGAGACATGCTCCACTCCGTGTTCGCAGATCCCGATAGACGTATTCAGGAACTTCCTTGGGGTCATATGGCGTCACTCCATCCCATTCTGCGAACAAGCCATACAGAATGGGAGCATGAATCACAGGGTTGTTTGGGAAGAGGATGCTAGTCAAAAAGTCAGTGTCGTAAAGGGGCATTCGTAGAATTTCTGTCCACGCCTCTTTCAGATCATATCTGTCTTTGCCATCGACAGTGCAAAACCGAACAAAGTCCTTGGCGCCAAAAAGATCACCCAATTTCCCATACTCCTTTGTGCCACAGCAATAGGGGATGAGCTGCGTGCCAAAAATGGAGTAGTTTCCAGTGTCCCCTAGGCATTCCTGAACTATCCAGTCAAAGCCACCGTAGGAACAGATGGAACCAATGTGGGTCAGACGATCTTTGTTGAGATGGTCTTTGATCTTGTTGAGCACGACTTTGTTGAGATGGACGGGTAATCCTGCAATCATCACCATCGTTGACTGAGGGATGCAATCTGCTGCATTTCTGGTCACACAATCGATATCTACCAAGATTTTCTCTTGCCCGCCAAGATACCCTTTGTCATTGTTGATGAAGCCAATGTTTTTTCCTCCTGTTTTGCAACAAGAATCCAAATGAATAGCAAACGAGCGGAATGATCAGAAGCAATCATGTTCAAACCAGCCAGGATGAGATCCTTCACGAGATACGCATATCGTACCGTTGAACTCTTCTGGCCTTCGTGTCAGAATCGCGACATCCCAACCAACGGACTTTGCAAGTGCAGCAGTGATCAGGGTTGAATTCCCACCGCCGCAAATGGTCAGGAATCCTTTGCTCACTTTAGAGCCGAGTTGAGACATCTTGATGGGGTACGGTAGGTGGGTCGATTGCTCGAGATCTGCTACCACAAGATAATAGACTCACTTTGCATTAGCGTTGAGACAGTGCAGAGTGTGGACAACTGTTACCGTACGCACCTTGATAGCTTGTTGCGTGAGGAAAAATAGAGGAGCAAAAGAAACCAGTAGCCTGGCCCCGGCTGGCTTCCGTAGATAATTTCCCCACTCTAATCTCTAATCCCCCCCTAAATTCGGGTTGCAAAGCAGGCATTGAAAATACGATGTAAATGTGGAAGGGCCTCTTACGAGTGTAGGTAGGTGCGGTAAACTATAGCTTGTATGCAAAAATGAACAGTAAAACTTAACTTTGACTCTATCGTTACCGCAACTACCCTGCGGAACCAGTCGTCCTGTAAAACATTCGATCGTGTGGTGCTTCCCGCAGTTGCCGAGCCTGGGGAGCCTCACTCGAACTCTCAGAGCTCCATTTTTGCCAAGATCTGTGATGATGGGGATACTGTATACTGCCATGGAGTATATCTCTCCGTGGCAATTCTTCCATGCCTGATGCAGCTGTGGACGCTGTTGGGAACTGCTGTCATCCTCAGCATCAGTGGGCACTTCTGTAATGCTCAGCAATAGTGGCCAAGACATGTTCTATGGTGACTCCTACGTACAAATGCAACAGGAATTTGACTACAAGCAACACGACTTTCAGGCCAAATCACTGAACAGCCAGAAGCACAAATGGCAAAGCCTAAAACCCACTCCATGCCAACAACCTTAGGACTCTACTACCAAAATTCCATGCAACCATCATAGTGAGCATACTACGTCATGGCTGAAACCCAAAAATGCAGTCAGAGCAGGTTACTAGTAGTTTGACTAACTAATTGAATTCTTAGAAATTCAAAGTGTCATTTTGGATATGAACGATCGTGGCATTTCCTGTCCAGCACTTCTCTTCATTGCCGAAATAGAAGCTATACAGGCCACACAGTTCTTCTACACTTGGTTTTCCTGTGTGCTCCCCAAGAAAAATTTCAACAAGGGCTTGAAGATTGGAAAGGAATGTGAATGCATAGCACTCTGTTGGGTCCAAACATGTTTCATAGGAAATCCAATTGGTACAGTTCTCCGTGTCGAAATATTCGCTACATAGAGGTGGGATCTCCCTTTCATCCTCTGGATCGCTCGAGTATATATAGTTGCTGCTTGTGGAGTCCATATCATTGGTGGCTTCAATGAACTTGTGCAGCTCCCATGGTATCTGTTGTTCACATGCAAGCATCATGATGTTCAACCTCTCGGTACCAGCAGGGCAAGATAGACAGTTCCCAAAGTATTCCTTCACAAAGAGTCCATCAAAGGATTCATGTACAACTTTTTCACCATCCATGAAGAGGCTGAACTGCCCTGGGGCTTTCATGCCATGCTGCCACCTGTTGTACATTGTAAACACGTAGCAAGGTTCAGCCAGGATGCAGATTTCCTCAACAATTGTTGCAAAGGCATATTCCTCTGGGTACGATTCGTGCTCAAAGAGGATTGCACCAGTAACATTGTCCATAAGATTCCACACAACATCTCCAGGGAACCTATCAAGGGTCACTGAAAGACGTAGGAGTGACATGCCTGTGGGGCACTCCTTTCTTCCTGGCAGTGAGTAAACTGTTGTGACTCCACCAATGCCTTCTTGAGGAGTCCCAACTGCCAGCTCCCTTCCACTTGAAGACAAGGAAACTGGGTAATGGAGCAATGGAAAAGGACCACTCACATCATTCCAAGATTCAGCTTCAGACTGCCACTCAAAAACTCTAACATGTGAACCAACCCTGAAGGCGATGATGGATCCGTCACCTGAAAGTGACAAGGCATTGTTTGCAACTGGACGTTCACTGTCAATGCAGTCTTCGATATGTGTTGTGGGGGAAACTCGAGGCACCCACTCCCCTTCATCATTGCGTGCTTGGATATGAAGCTGTCCATCCAAGCACAATGGGAAGCCATAGCCAAGAACATTCCCATCTTGACTCAATGCCACTGACAACGGGAAGTAAGCATCAACATATTTCAGATGAGTCTCAAACCGAAACTCAGTTTCATCAGCATAGTCACCAGTCAATGCATCCCGGGCCATAACAACAATGTTCGCATCTGTTACTATGGGGAAGTTTGTGTGTAGGTCGATACCTGTCATCTGAGTTTGCACAGCCATTCTGCTACCATCTCCACTCAATGACAAGGAATGGACACCAGCCAGGGTACCATTTCTTGTACGATTTAAATCTGCTCGAAACTCAAATGATGTCTCTTGGGCCTCATAGATTCGAATCACTTGGGGAGCCTGGCCAAGTACGAATAAGGACGTCACGAGAACTGTGCCATCGTCAGACAAAGCAAAGGCATTTACCAGTGGGAACTCTTGTGAAAGTGTACAACCATCAGAGTTGCATCTGTAGATTCGAAGAGTTCGGTAGCCATCCTGGACAGCAACAGTCAGGGGAGCTTTGAAGCTTGGGTTGTTGACCACATTGATTGGTCCTGATGAGAGGCCCAGTACACCTACCCCAAAACGGGACCCCAAGATAGTGTCTCGAAGGATCCAGGAAGATCCAACCTTGTCATAGATGCGGACACGGTCCTGCGACGGTTCAGACACAGCCATTGATTCCATCGCAAGAGCCAAGGCATACCCAGAAAAGGAGCCAGCATCTCCATTCAAAAGAGTGCTCTGCCATTCATCCTTTTGCTGCTTGCAGTAGTAGTATCCTATGCTGACATAGCCATCTTCTTCAGCCCCACAAACATACTGAGATGTGCTCACACAAGTAGATTCACAGCAATCACCACCATCCATCTTGAACTCGGGTATATTGAAGACGGGGTTGCAATGTCCGTTGTGGACTGAAGAGTTGCGTAAGGAGAAAGCTTTAGCATTGATCGTGCACATGATTCCTATGAGCTGAACATACCTGGTGGGACTTCACAAAGACTTCCAAAAGAGTCAAGGGAGCACACACATTCCCCTTCAAGGCATTTGCCATCATACAGGCAAGGGTTTGAGGATTCCTCACATGTGTGACAAAGAAACTTTGTAGTAATCTCATTCCCAATTCCCTGGTTCATATTCTGATCTCTAGCTTCTTCTGTGAAGAACCAAGAGAAGCCAACTGGAGAGCTAGAGCTCAAGTGTGTCCCCATTGCAATGTAGTCACTGAGGAAAGCAATAGAATAGTTGGTAGAGAAGCCCTTATATCCATGGAAGGCATGTGTGAAGTAGTTTCCAATATCAGAACCAAGATCATCTTGTCCATCAGATAGAGCATTGGAAGGGATCCTTCCAGCATGAGGCAAGAACACAGATGAAGTCAAAGCCCAGCGCCCACCCGTGAACATGACAGCATCAAATTCGCCATTCTCATACTCGTGAATGTACACTGGTCGATGGTATGCTTCCACCAGCGTGCCATTGCCCAAGTCAATGGACTGGTAGCTACTTGCCCAATCCCTGGTACTGGCAAACTTTTCTGTCCTAGCATCAATGTTGATCCATGAGCAGGGACTGACAAACTCACATCTGAGACCATACCATCCATCGTCACAGGCACAGACAGCATTGCTGCAGGTACCTAACCCACCACAGTCATCGCTTCCGTCTGCATCCTCATTGGAGCAATCAAAGCAAAAAAGGCTGAATGGCTCCAGCACCACTTCGCGGTTTGTTTCATCGCGGACAAACCACTGGATGCTCCCAGTCTCTGTGATATCATAGGTGTGTGTTTCGGAAGATCTGGCAATCCAGTCACAAGGATCTGAATCCTCCTGATTGTCCTTTGGTTGCACCCGAAATGTCCAAGCGTTGATGTCATTGCAGTACCCAAAAACACCTTTCCCAGGAGTGTCAATCTCCACAGAGCGCCTCTCCACATATTCCGCTCGCCACTCCAGCCCGGACCCAGTTAAGAAATCGAAGTCATACAATCCGTTGAACGTTCCTAGGGAGGGAACAAAGTTATCTCCCATATTCACAATGATGGTATTGCACATGAATTTGCCTGACGTCCGAAAGACAACAATAGTAATCCATCCAGCCACCATAACAACAAGGATCAAAAGAAAAACCCCAGCCTTCCACGAACGTTGTAGAAATCCTTGCCCTACTGATGCTTTGCGGACTTGGAAGTCGGTTACATCATTGGCGGCATGCTGAAGCCTGTTTCCCATAAAGCCTGCCTTGGCAAGTGAGAATCCGGCGTCATCAATATCTGCCATGAAATGTAGTGCTGCAAAGTTGAGCATGATTCCCAATACACTGTCAACTTGCATGGTCAAGATGTAGATGGTCAAAAGTAGCAGGAGGCCAGCAATGAGCTGAGCAATACAAGAGAGGAGCCAAGTAGCATATGTTGCTCCAGGATGTTTTTCAAGCACCTCTGGATGGAATCCATCTTTCGATCTGGAGAGAGCAGATTAGGTTGGAAATGTGAGAGACTGGTTGAAAAGGGATTGACATGTGCAAAAAAGGCTTACTTTGCAACAACTTCGAGAAGGTCTGATTGGAAAGCTATGGCCTGGAAAAGGGCGACACCTTGAGCAATTGTAACACTCAAATCAACATTGGGTGGCATCTTGAGCCCAGCTCCACCCCAGTCAACAATGTCAATCAGTGTCAGCAGAATGGTAGTGATCTGTTGAAGCCGCGTACAAAGGGTGGGTAAGTTCGAAAGAACATGATAAATCTATTGTCATCCCTATTTGATACTTACCTGAATGACATAGACAAAAACGGCATACCAGAATGCAAGGCTATCGACACTGCACAAATAGAATAGAGAGTAGGTGCTGTCACTGTAGGGCGTATGCCACTCTGAGTCATCCTTCTTGTCCTCTTCACCGGCAGAATTCATTGTAGGTGTGGGCAATGCATGTTCCTCTTTGTTTTCACTCTGATCACGCATGATTGGGTTGAGAAGGTTTGCAAGCATTTCCAGATCCTTGGGGGTCAGAGATTCCATCAACGCAGAGGCACCAGTGGCTACGGTGAACGATGACATTGGTAAACTTTCTGTTGGTGACTTTTGTGGTTGTTCAAGATCCATCATGAAGGAATCGACATCCACTTCATCCTTCACCTGCAGAAGAGGATGGCTTTGGCTCTTTTTGGTGGGAGGTAAGGTCATTCCCTCCTCCTTGGCCTTTTTATTGTGTTTGTGTGGAGTGGTCATTATTGATAAGGATAGTCGTTTTATCTTACGATGGACCCAAATGCTGTTGGTGGTGGCTAACAGTTGCTGCCGAGTCGATTCAGTACACTCCTCTTTTGGTGTGGATCTCTTTTGGTGTGTATGCTCAGTGTTGGAGGAGCCTTCGAATTATGGTTGGTTAAAGCTTGTACGAGATTAATGACCGACCCAGTTTTTTTCTCGGGATTCTCAAGCCCGGTGGTTCTTGATAGCACGGATAATCCAACCGCTCTAATCCCCCCGTCAGGACTTATTGTGATCACAGAAGCGTTCGATTGACGACTACATGTATAGTAACAACTGATAAAGTCCAACGAGATACTACAGCTACCAATAGTATTCGGCAGCTTGGTTCCATGCGATGTAAGAGGATTGGTTCCATGCAGTTGATCCTTCGCGGCTGCTGTATGAGAAGTTGCCTTGGCGGGTGGTTCGACGGATTGAATGAGAAGGCGGAGAATGGAATGGAATGGATTCGATTCGATTCGAACTACTGGAGTGACGACTCGTGACTCGACTTGACTCCATCGACTCGACTTGACTGAGTGACTCGACTCGGCTCGACTTGACTTGTGCGGTATCGCTAAAGCCGATTAAGCTGGCATATCACACCAACAGTGAGCAAACATTAGATTTCCAGAAAGCAAAGCATGCTTCCTGGTCAACAAAGGGCGGTAAAGGGGGGAAATCAGGACCCAGATACATGCCCCATCCCTGTTTATCCCTGGCTTTGGTCTTGGTAGCTTTGTGTACATACAGTACGATGTACATGTTCTCGTTTCTTTGCTTGTTGGTATGGTTGCACCTCTTTGGTTGCTGTTGTGTAGCTTGAGGGGGTTCCTCTTGTTGAATCCTTGGATACGGGTATGTGGCCTCTTTGGGTCTATCGATTGGCTCCTGTGAGCTGCTCCAGCCTTGAAAGGGTATTGCGTTGACTCGACTCATTGAGTCTAGGTTTCTTGGATTCGTGGATCCCAAGCAAATTCACCGGTGGGCCTACGTACCGTACTAAGGAACTTTCTCTGCAGGCTTGCTGTTGCTGCTTTCTTGAACACATCTCTGTATTAGTGAGTGTTAAATGAGTTCAGTGATTCATGGGCTGTAAATGTCTGAAATCCTTTGAAGATTCACTTCCATCGAGTCGAGTCGAACGCTGCTGGGATATCTTGTTCCTATTCCAGTTGTGAAAACACGCTCCACCCGAACGGTTCTATCGCGATGAATGTGTATCAACCTTTTGAGGCTGCGTATATGCCTGCATGTGGCTGCATGAGTGGCTCTTCGTTCCGCTTTGCTATGGCAGCTCGTTCTATACCGCGATCGGCTGTCGCAGTCGATAGATATCTTGAGTTACGTTGAGTCGCTTGCTCGTGAGATCATGCATGGGAACCTGATTTACTCAAGAAACTGGTCTGACCGAAGCTAAGAGAGCCATTCCCGTGCAACAGCGCGAGCACTTTGACAGAAAGGACCCCACACCACCACCACCACCACCACCACCACAGTGGGATTATCCAGCAACGCTACAGTATGAATGAACACACCCCAAAAATCTTTTGCTCATTTTCAGCTCACAATTTCTCTCTGTCCAAAAACTTTCAACTGATACCACTTATGAAGCTACTTTAGCTGAAAGATTCATTCAATCAGTTGAAGGGGATAACCACAGGAGGTCCGCAGGATAGCTACTGTACGGCAGCAGCCAGCTGGGCAGCTGGGACGCTGGGAAAAGGGGGGGGGGGTACAGTGTACCGTACGGAAGGTGCATGGTTGCACTTGTACACTTGTACACTTACTTGTACACTAGCTAGTACACGTCCACGTGGCAGATGGCGAGGGGCGCGTGGCTTTCGGCTTTCCTGTAACATGTCAGCTCATGTCCTTCATCAAACTTACCCCGACAATAAATATTTTCTGCCCGTTTGATGAGTAGGCTTTAGATGATTCAGTACGTTGATTCGGTACCGAACCGGAATGTGACTTTTACACAAGGATTAATTATACTTTTAAACTTGCGTAGTCTTGCGTCCCAAAACCCCTTAAGGCCAAGCACACCACTAGGCTTCGCAGGAAGCTATTTCCAACTTTTTTACCAGGAACAATGTCACCTCTTACGGTCTCACTGGCTCACTGGCTCACTGGATTCTGGACTCCATTATGTGATGCTCTATCCACTGTATCTCATCATCTATCTCGCCCTGTGTTCGAGTGGACCATGAAACATAATATCAAGACCTCCCCACAATCAGTGTCGAAGGAACTGCAAGAAGGGAGCAAGCGCAATGGTCTTGCACGCAGCGCACGACAATGGCAATGCCAATGAGGAAGTGTTTCTGATGGACTGGATCCGAAAGGTCGCTTTGGAAAAGGGAGAGAGAGATTTTGCAACTTGGTACGATGGTAAAGGAAAACAAGTCAACGCCGTGACTTTTGGGGGTCTTTGGGAGGAAGCGGGAGTTATCGCTGCGTATCTTCGTAATGAGTGGCAAATGGAAAAGGGAGACCGCGTTGTGCTCTGCTACACCCCTGGGATCCAGTTCTTTGCGGCCCTATTGGGATGCTTTCGTGCAGGAGTCATCGCTGTCCTCGTCTACCCTCCAGATCCAAGCAGCGCCGAAAAGTTGGCATCCTCTCTCAAGAAGATGGTCAAGTCCATTGACGATTGTCACCCCAAGTTGGTCCTTTGTGATGCATCGGTACACTTGATGCGTACCGGAGACAACCTCAACGTCTTGTTCTCCAAGAGCCGTAAGCTTTGGCCAGCCGTACCATTTCATGTGACTGAGAACCTGCGGGCAAAGGGCGGCGACAAGCACTGTTTTGATGAACATTCACTGACACCAAATGATATTGCATTCTTTCAGTACACTTCGTAAGTTATCAACTTAAGTAGGGTCGGCAAAAGTGCGGACAGTCTGACAGGTGTTTCTTGCTAACAACATCAGGATTTGCTTCTTGATTGCGACAGGGGCAGCACAGGAGATCCAAAGGGAGTGATAATCAAATACGGCGCACTAGCAGCCAACATTAGACTCATACACAATGGATTTCGCCAGTGCTACAGAGAAGATGGAGGAGTCCCTGAAGAAATTGTAGGATTCTCATGGTTGCCTCAATATCGTAAGTTGAATGCGGGCATCTTCTGGGTGACAACTGCAAGTCTGATCTACCAACACGAGCTCACTCCAGTTGAATTCCTTCTCGCTTTCTTCCCTGGCCACACAGACGACCTCGGACTCGTCTATGCGGGCATTGCACCGTTCATGGCCGGCATGCGGATGCATATGATGTCTCCCCTGACATTTCTGAGTAATCCTCTGCTCTGGGTCCAACTCATGTCCCAACTCAAGGTGTCCTGGGGAGTGGCACCGGACTTTGCCTACAATTTGGCGACTAGGAGATTCAATCAAGCGCTCAAAGCCTCGGGGGGGAAGAATCCGCTGCCGGGGCTGGACTTGTCCTGCATCCACAACCTCCAGAGTGGAACAGAGCCCGTGCGACCGCATACCAAGATCAACTTTGAAAACGCCTTCTCACCATACGGGCTCCGAAAGGATTGGTTTCATGCTGGCTATGGCCTAGCTGAAAACGTGGTTGGAGTTTCTTGGATTCATGGATACCATTTGTCGACACCTCGTCCTGACGAGGACATGGGACCACTTGTCGCTGTTGGCAGCAGGCACACATTCGACAAGTCCCTAGACGTCAGGATTGTAAACCCGGAAACCATGGAAGAAGCGGAAGACAACACCACAGGCGAACTTTGGATTGCGGGGCCAAGTGTTGCGGGTGGATATCATGGCAAACCAGAGCTATCGAAAGGGGTCTTCGAAGCGAAACTGTCGGGGTCTCACAGGGAGGCTCCGATTGATCCTTCCAAGCGCTATCTCTCCACCGGCGACCTCGCATTCATTCAAAACGACAACCTTTATATCTGTGGGCGTATCAAGGATCTTCTGATCGTAAACGGCCGCAACTATTACCCAAGTGATATCGAGTTGGCAGCGCAGGAAGCCTCAGAAGCCGTTCGTCCTGGATGTGTTGCCGCGTTCTCGGATGACGAAATTAACACCGATGCGAGCTCTTTGACGATAGTCTTTGAAATCAGGGCTTCAAGCTCCAAGAGAGATGCTGCAAGCGTCATAGAAGTAATTCGCCAAAGCGTCATCAATCAAATTGGACTGATGCCATACCGCATCGTTGCCATCAAGGAGAGGACCATCCTCAAAACAACAAGGTAAGATAGTGACAGCGACTCGGTTGATGCCTTCACTCCACGCGACCTCGACGCTCACAATTTCGTTTTCCCCTCTTCTTGCTGTATTACGACAATTCCCTCACTTGCCGATGCCTTCATCCTTCCTGCCCCCCAATGGCCCAATGTTGGCAATAGTGGCAAGATTCGGAGAAGGGCCACCCGCAGCGCACTCAAGGAAGGAGCCCTATCCATAGTGCTCGATGAACAACGCATGACGACAACAAGGGATCCGACAGCTGTCTCTTCCAAGTTGGGAGCGTCAAGAGACGAACGTAACGAAGTTGCTCCCTGCGGCGAAAAGTATGAAAGCATAGTGTCACAAATCATCGGGACAAAGTACAGTCCAGACGACTCTTGGGGGGACAATGGTCTATCATCGATGCAGCAGGTGGAGCTGGTGAACGAACTCTCCGAAGCATTTCCTGTTGAGATCCCCTCCGATTTCCAGACTGTGTTCGGTACGCCTCTCGAGCTGAAAGAGCATATCCTGGGCCCACAAGCTGGCGCATTTTTCCCCACCAAGATAGATGAACTTGCAATTGACCGTCCCATATCCAAGATCGCGGCAACTGCAGTCCAAATGTTTGGCGTGTTGCTGCTGCTGTCTTTGCTCTCCGTGAGCACAATTCCAGTCTACTATTTGGTTGTTTTTGTAACTGAACAAAGCAACGGAGCTCCCTGGAGAGAAGTTTTGTTTCCGTTCGGGGGGTTGCTGCTCCCACCA